GCACAAGGCCGTGTACAAGTCGAGAGCAAACAGGCGAACCATAGAAATTGCTACAGAATCTCTGTAGGAGATATATTAAGTGCCACCCTTGCTCCGCTGAGCGATTCAAGGTCCTCAATGGGATGGTCAGCGTTCTTGAATATATGCATGTCATGACTCAACCCTGCGTAGCTCCATGTCTTGTTGCAGTTCTGTGAATCCGCACTGATAAGCTGACATTGTTGCTGTTTGCTTGTTGCTCTCTGCAGAAGCAGCTAGAGCAGTGGCAGGCCACCAGGATCGATGGAGGAAGGGCATCATCAGGAGCAGGTGATGCTGTTGGCGATGCTCAGCATGGCGCACAAGGGGCGGACGGCTCCTGTGAAGACATCTCAGCGATGGACTGCAGTGGTTCAGGGCCATCTGTAGGTGGCGATGGAGGCATGCAGCAGCCAGAGCATCCAACCACTCCGGCAGGCGAATCAACAATGGTGAGCATGAGACTGCGCAGGAATGTGTACGGACAATGGCTGATGCTGTCTGTGCAACTGTATTTTCAATCCTGCAACACGGTAAAGCAGCGACGGGCTGCAGATGCTGAGGAGCTGAAGCACTGAAGCAAGGCGATGCTGGAAAGATACCACATAATAAGGCCCTCACATCGTTTGCCTGAAGTTTGCACATTGACAAGATTTCGCTTGGGAGCTGAGCGCAAAAGCACTGCACTTGGTACCCATTTTGCTCTTGTGGACATGTGAATGGCTTGATCCCCATGCAGAGTGCAGATTGAGCCACACTGTACGCCTCAAGCATTGTCAGCAGCGACGGCCCAGCTGGATCTTATGCAAGATCCTAAATGCAGGATGCAAGCTCGAAAACAGACATACCCTGCTGGCTCTGCTTCCCATTTTGTGGACGATTCGCACCTTTTTCCTGCAAAGTAGCCAAGGGTGCATTTTGCATGTGGACTGCAGGTCCCCTCACAGGGCAGTGAGCGACCGATGGCTGCCGAGCTTCCGCGGCAGACAGTACAGGCGCCGGACCAACAGCCCTGTGCGCAGAACTAACAGTGCTCGACCAGCCCACCTGTGGTGCCCTCCTGAGGAGCTGTCCATTTTGGACGGATAACCACGAGCATAGCCGCTCCCATGGCCTCTTTCAGGGGATGCTGGATATGTAGAATTTGTCTTTGATGCATGTATAGTTGCATAGCAGGTTTAGCATTCTTTTTGGGTTTGGGGGCCGGGAGGGGTGCTTTTGTAGGGGCGCAAGGCCCCTGGACTCACCGAGGCTGTCCTCATCCATGGTGACACAAAGACTGAAAGGGGGAGGGGGGGGACTATAATAACTACCCTGTTCAGCAGATGGGAACAATGGGCCTGGCTGGGGGTGGCTGGATCGGATGGCAGGCTATCCTGCAGTTTGGAGCTGGAAAGGGTTGCTTCAAGTTAGAACACAATTGTGACACTGGGCATCTGAGTCATGTTTATGAGTGTCACGCTCTGTTAGGTATATGCTTGTCTTGTAAACTGTGCTCCTAGCATCGACTTCACATAACAACGCTGAAGGCTTTCCTCACCTCCTGGGAACACATAACTAGACATGCTGACCAACCTGCGACCTCCAGTTAACTTCTACATTCCCGGTCCTCCTAGCCCCCTTCAGGAAAATGACAACTCTCTTCAACCTGGCGCATCTGGCGCACAAGGAACAAGGATCCACAGGATGGGGCGCGCCAGCCCCGCCCCGCCTTTGCAGGCGTCCGTCAGACGGTATGGTCTGCCGCGTACGATGCACAGAAAACACGCATGTGAGCAAGTGCGCAGCAGTGTCGGTACTTTCCCAACACCGCCGCGCACCTGAGCATCCGTCACTCTGAAGGCCGTCCTTGCTGCCCCAATCATGGTCGTCATTACCACGTAATCATCCCCGTTAATTGCGGGGGAGCGAGATGGCTTTGCGCGGAAGTGGCCCCGGTGTCTGCCGCGCCACTGCACAGCCCTGTCCCCGAGGCTGCACGCACTGTGCCGCAAGGCGCTCCCTGAGGCGCTCCTGCGTCGCAACACCAGCGAGGAAGTAGCCCAGGCGCAACCTGCGGCAGTTGTTTGATCCCAATCGCCGGGAGGGCGACGCAGATCGGTCGAGAGGGCTGGAAGGCGCCGCACAGGCCTCGCTGATAGTGCTGTGCTGGCTGGGGAGCATCCCAGAAGTGGGTGCAAATGGACGTGATGTACTTAAGGAACCCAGCCGTGGGGCGTTGAAGGGTTTTGGGTGGTTGATGGATGTTCGCGAAACGCAACTGTGGCGATGGGCATTCGGGCAGTGGGTAGTAAGAGGCAACGGGGCGTGGGAGATCCGACCTGTGGTTGTCCACTGTGGTTGCAAGTCCCCGTGGATGTGCTGCGCGCCCAGCCACTGGCCATGATGGTGGAAAATCGCGAATGGTTCCGCCGGTCATGACGCACGCGCGGGGTTTCCTGGTTCTCCGATGGGGTGTGGCTCCGGCACAAGAGGGGCAGCCACCGACGCGGTGACTATGGCCCCTGATAAGGACTCCTACTGCGCGATGGATAGCCCATATTTCAGGCACCTACGGCTTTGGTAGTAGGAACAGCTATCAGAATGGTTTCAGGTCCTCAGAATGGGGAACAACGAATGACACGAGCCGGCCTTTCGGGCGTTCCGCCTCACCCTACCGGTGGATTGCTCTCGCAGGAGGACGCCGGGATGGTAGCCTGTGACTGAGCGCAAGAGTGCGGACGACCTGACGGAGGGTGGGCCATAGCCATGGGTACCCCACTCAGGGAGCTGATCGCTAGCACGCTCGAAAAGGTGTACAATGCCTGCAACACGAGGAAACTCACCAAGTTGAAACAGGACTGCAAGGTGAGGTGTATGCCACCGCGTAAGACTCTGTGAAATTATGGCTCAGATGCTGCTTTGCTGCTTGACCGGAGACGTCCGCATCCAGTTCTGCAGTGTGCATGGAAAAGAGTCTCGCATAACAGCTACAGAGGGAGAGCGTACCTTGCGTGTGACGTTTGTGCTTTTTCGGTCAAGAAAAATCGTTGTTCGCGTCACCTGTCGTCTCCCTTCTTGGGCTGATGGTGAGCATGTGGCCATGTGTGCAGTCACTGCTGGACCGGCTGGATGACGTGCTGTCCCAGAAGGAGGGAGCAGCTGGAGGTGCTGTGGTGGTGGCAGCTGGTGGGTGCGGTGTCCTGGAAGTATCCACGGGCCTGGGGGATGCACAGGGTCTGAAACATCAAGAGGCCTTGTGATTTCTAGGAGGAGTCCTCCACGCCTGGCTCAGCAGGTGCAGCTTGTTGTCAGTGAATCCTGGACAACAGGTCGAAGGGGGACGATTGAACCGCTAATTGTCACATCACCAATGTTGACCTAGACAAGCAAGCAATGCACTGATATATAGCCCTACGCTGCCGAATTCGTGGTGTCTTGGCTACTCTTGATCGATTGGAAAATATTTTAAAGGCATGGACAGCTTCCCAATGGTCCTGCTGTGGATGAGCGGCACCAATTGTATGAAATATGCCATTGTTTGTTGACGTTGTATGTTGTTCGTGCTCTTTTAGCCAGCACACTGCCAGCCATCTTTGACACACCTATTGTTCCCAATTGTCAGGCCACCTTGAAGTCTTGCTAATCACAAGATGGCATGAACGGGTGCATTTTCATCATGCCATCGTGCCCTCCATGGGGACATGGCAGTGTGCATCGCTGTGACTCATTGTAGTGAATGCGGGCAAGTCAGATTTATCTCCACGGTAGGGAATGTTACCCAACACAACAGCCAGCCATAAGAAAAGGCGACTCCAGCCCAGCACTTGGCTTGTGCAAATTGCCTGTGGTGTTTCTCTTCGAAAGTAAATCAAACCAAGGCACCCTCAGGGTAAACTTGAGGGGGAATGTGTGCATGCCCATGAGACAATGTCCCAAAATGCAATGCAAACTCTAACTTGCAGTCTTTGCGTGCGGTCCTCCAGATGTTGCCCTCGAGCCCCCAGAATTGCCAGAAGCACCTCCAACCCCCACACGGATCCCCCCTCCTCAGGTGGGCACTGAAAATGAGGATGCGCCTTCCGAACCCGCTGATGCCTCAGGCAGGGAACCAGAGGAGCCCCCACTGCCCCCTGCCCCCTCCTTCCAACCAGAGGGGGTGCCAGATGTGGCAAAACGCCCACAAGGGGACCCCCAGCCGCCTGCCACTGGGTTGGTCACGGGTACCAATGGGGAAGCAGAGGGGGTGGGAACAGAGGAGGGGGAGGGGCCTAATTTTCAGGCAGCACTGGCCAAGCTGAAAGTCCGGGGCAGTGTATCAGGAACGCCTGCTGACGAAGAAGGGCTGACCCCAGAGGGCTACGTGGAGGTGAAGGAGGCAGCAGAAGGTGTGAGCTCAGAAGGGTTTGCCAACCAGGATGGGAAGGATCAGCAGCAGCCAGCGGAGGTGCTCACAGAGAGCGCAGCTGCAGGTGAGTGACATGGGAGACTTGGCACCCTGAGGCCGGCGGCATAATATCTCCAAAGTGGCCAACTTGGAGTTTGCTGCATCCATGGCCAGTGAAACAGGGAAGTGGCCCATCCAATTGTGAGCTTGAGAGTGTGTCAGCAGCACAGAATCGTGCAGAAGAATAGTTTGGGGAAAGGGGTATTTTGAGGATATTTTTGCAAAGATCTGTGGAATAATCTCTGGCGCAGTGTTTTGCAGCCAGCCATGCTGATTGTGGCATACCTTGGCTCAAATGGGCTACAAAGGTTTCCATGGAAACACAGCAGTTGGGCAGGGTAAGTATTTACCAGGGTTGGTCGTTACCATCTGCAACCCTCCTAGATGCCAGTTGCTTTTTTTGCTGCGAATATTCTCAGAGAAGAGCAGGTCAGCCAAGAGGCAATCGGTTGTTCTGCAGGGCTAGCAAGGCTGCAGTTAAAACCTTGCCACCATGGGCGGCATATTGATGTTGGTTCCCCTGGCTTGCAGATAGCGTGCTGTGGCATACATTGTGAATATCATCTACACGCCTGAAGGCACCATTTGGCTGCAAGAGATTGCATTGAAAGTTAATGCCAGCAGAGATGTTCCATTACAAATATCCATGCAGCTCTTGCCTAGGGGATATATCCATTGATGTGTGCGCATGTGGAAGGCATGTGTGAATTTCGTGTGCCTGTCTGCTCAGTTAAGTTCATGGAGGCCGTTTGTGGTAACAAGGCAGACAGGATCAACCGTATTCCAGGTGCAAATCCAGGGAAGTAGAGAATGTTCAGGACTCGGGTTGTGATAGCAGTGTGTGGTGCAGAGATCTTTCCTGTGTTTCAGCTGGCGATGGACATGAAGAAGGCTAACCTGGCCGACATCTTGTTGGATTGCCTTCAGCGGCTCATTGCCCACCGGCATGTTCAGGGTGTGGTGACCTCAGTATCAACATCCCTGAAGTCCACCAGGGATGCAGGGGCAGGAGAGATGGAGGAGGAGAGTGAGGCAGGCAGTGTCATACTGGAGGCTGGCAAAGTGCCCCATCAAGCGCAAGTCATCGACATGATCTGCAAGTGCGTGGATGGGACAGTGCTCTGGGAATCCGCTGCACACGTTTTTCTGTCTAAGCAGTGCATTTGCCATGCACATCACTGAAACCACTTGGAAGTTGTTGTGCTGTCTTGCAAGGTAGATGGATGCTGCAGTTTTTTCTGTTGGGATGGTTTGGTGCTGGACCTTAAGAAAGTGACCTGATAGTGTGGGCTACTTGCGCAAACGACCTTGAGAAACAGTACTTTGCAATATGGGAAGGAACGAAAGCAATCAGAATCATGCAGCGTTGTGCTGGGTATTGGGCCATATCCTGCTGCAGTTGCAGTGCCTGTTTTGAATGGTGAGAAGAATTCCTTGCAAAACATTGGTGTGTGGGTTACATGTCTGCCGACCCCGAACTCACGATTATCATCTTGTTTGCATCCTGTGTCATATGATTTGCAGAGCGCAAATATTCTGTTTGTGTGCCAATTGAAGATCTCACAGTGCTCATTTGTGTTGGGGTGCACAGTAATGTGTTAGAATGGTAATCTATCTGCCTCGTTTGTTTGAGACAGGCTGGTGCAGCTTGTGCATTTGCTCTCAAACCTATTTCAAGCAGCTTCATGTATTTCGGGCATGATTGCCTCACTGCTGATGCTCTGTTTGAGCTGAGTGGCATGCCATAAGCTGTCACGTCAGGTGTTGAAATGCAGTCAGCCAGGAGGCAGCTGAAGCCCTTCCTTCAACACTTGAGTTGTCCTGTCCTACACCTTGCGCTTGCCTGGAGTGAAGAGTCTCAGCTTGTCCACCCCTCCTGCCTGATTGCCGTGTATGAGTGCAGGTGCGACGATGTGCAGGACGACACAGTGGAACTCAAGCTGCTGAAGGCGCTGCTGACTGCAGTCACATCGACAACGTTCTGTGTGCATGGCCAGGGTCTCTTGCTGGCAGTGCGCATGTGCTACAATGTGTACCTGATGTCCCGCAGCCAAGTGAACCAAACCACGGCCAAGGCATCGCTTACACAGATGCTCAATGTTGTGTTCCAACGGATGGAGGCGAACTCTTTGAATGTCCCGATCGCACCAATCGTTGTCAGCGATGTTCTGGGTCTACCAAAGGTGGCGACGACAGAATCTGCCTCCTTGTCAAACTTTGTTCAGGTGCACTATCCCACAAGGTTCAGATCTGTCTAATCTTTTAGGCGATGTTAGATTCTGTTGATATGCGCAACGGTTTAGTTATGAGGGAGTTTGTTCCTGCCCGCTGCCAAACAGTCTCAGGTACTCACACAGTGTCACAGAAAGAGGAGAGAAAGCTATTCGGGTTTGGGCAAGTGAACTGAAGGGTTGGATGTGGAGTGCATCATTTTCTCCTTGCTTTCTGACAGTCCTGCTGCATGCTGCTTAATGGGCTTTGGAAAAAAATGTGTTGTAACGAGCGTTATAGAGTGGACGATGTCCACTGTCGCCTACTGGGCAGTACGGTAGGATTGGTCACTTTTTAATGAACACTGTGCAGTGTACATGATGCTTGTTGCTATATGCTTGTTGTGCTTGGTGAGCGGCCATGACATTCCCCCTTTGTCAACCCATTTGTTGCTTTCTTTGGATGCCAGGAGTGCAGTTTGAAGATTCTGGTTTGCGCATGTGTTCTGTGCTTTTCCTCCTCTCTTTTCAAGAGTTTCATGCATCTTTTTTCCTGTGAGAACACTGGTGCTGTGTCAAATTTTAAGTCTACAGCAGCATGCACGACTAATGGGCTAGCATATGAACTTGCTGGCTTTGTGGTCAATCAGTAATAAAAAAAGTTTTGCACGAAGCTGTGTCCAGTAGTTTAACTTGATGACCAATGTCTCATATTGGGTATTGAGAAGTTACTGATTGGAATCTTCGTGGCTTATTCGACTGCTGTCTATGTTGTTCGTTGCAGACGTTTGTCAACAAGGCAGTTGCAGACACCCTGTTTGCACCTTCATCAGAAGATGTCAAGCTGACTGTGGCAGGTGCATTCGAAAGGAGAGCAGTGGGTGGCAGCGAAACTGCATCGGTAAGTGGGTTATGCCCCAAAGTGCAGGAATGTTGTGATAGCGCCAATGCTGACATTGTGCCAGCCGAAGCCCTGAACGTGTTGATGCAGTTCATTCCTTTGCTGGACGTCATCATGCCTGAGTTCTGCGTTCAGCAGAAAAAGTTGACAGCAGTGTGTCAGGTGTTGTTGGCGGTAGCTTGGTGAAAGTGAATGATTGGTTTGAGATGTTGGGAATTGGTACCTGCTGCCTTGCCATGGTTGGTAGGGATCTTCATGTGAAGATGGGTAGCGCTTCAGGTTAAATGCAAGCAAACTGCTGTTGCTAGTTTGTTTGTGCTGGACAGTGACTGTGCTTGTTTGCTTTGTGTTAGTTGTCAAGCTGTGAGAGCGTGTCGATCAGATCTGACACTTGCAGCTTCCTTACTGCCATTCTTCAGTCTCTTTGCAATGAGTGTGACTATTCTGCTTCTAGATCCAAATCTATGAGTCTTCTATAGAATGGGATAGTGCCGCACGTTAGTATTATATCTTGTGCCACGATGCTGAGGTTGATTCAATGTGGCAATGACTGCACAAGATGCAGAGAGTTTGTAGTGTCACTGGTTTTGTTTCCAGAAGCCTGGCAGGAAACAACAGCCAGCAAGTCCTACAAAGCATGCAGTGGCTTGATGTTGCGCACATTGTGGGGGCAATGAATGCTTTAGAGCTCAACAGAATGCTCGAACACGAGTTCAGTAGTGCACTCCCTTTGCACTGTGTCTTGTCCACAGCAATTCATCGGAGCCTGGGACAAGAGCATGGAATTTGTTCCCTTGCATAGTTACGAATTGTCAGATTGAGCTCCAAAATCCAGTGTGTCCAGTTTTTGCAAGCTCTGCTCATCAGCTCAGGTGTGGCCTGTTGGCAGCAGGGGTATTGCTGGCAGTATGCCGATTCCATGGCATCTTGAACACACCCCTTGGACGGCAGACTTCTGGGAATCCCAGCAGTATTGATCCAGGAACAAACAAGCTCTGGGGTGCGAGTTGTTGAAAGCTGTTCTGTGTGATTTGCATCTAGGACTCAGACCAGGATCACATAGAATGGAGGGAGAGTGAAAGTCAACCAGGCCACTCCAGAGTGACGAGCGCAGAACAACAGCCAGTCTCACCTGTTATACAGGCTGGTGTGGAGCATTCGGCAGAAGCACTTGTATGTGAGAGAAGGCAGTTGCACACAGGAGGCTTGTTTTTGATGGCCTGCCTGAGTTGCTATCGATCGGCTCACAGCGTGTCCACTGCCTGGCCATAATGGTGCTCTCTGCCCAACATTGTCTACTTTGGTTCTCAACTTCATCCCAGTCGGACTGTTAAGAAGTGTGATGGTGTGGCTTAGGACACACAGGGCCTGAGGGCCCACACACATGTTTTCCTTGCAGGTTGCCTGCTGTCGATCCAGAACACGCCACGACTTGCAATATGTCTTGCTGCTTTGCTGTTGGATGGCCAAGCAATTGCACCTTGAGATGCACACAGTTCATGGAGTCAGGGCTGGTGACCCTTGTCCTCACTGACTGGCATCTTGTCCCTCTGTTGTAGTTTCAGCCCACCGGGGATGCAAGAAGCACTGTCCTGCAGAAGGACGCCTTCCTGGTGTTCCGCGCCTTGTGCAAGCTGTCCATCCGCACATCTCCCGACTCGTCTGTGTTGGACTCCACAGCTGTTCGCGGCAAGGTCCTTGCCCTTGAGCTCATCAAGGTCCTGCTGGAGAACAGTGGACCCGTGTTCAGCAGTTCAGAGCGATTTGTTGGGGCCATAAAGCAGTACTTGTGCCTCAGCTTGCTGAAGAACTGTGCATCCTCCATACCACAGGTGGGCAGCATTGTGGTAGAGCGGGACAACAAGCAGTGCCCACAAGTGGAGCATGTCCTACAAGCAAAGGTCTATGTAAATTGCCACACCTAATGTTGCAGCGAAGCAGCCGATTGTAGAGTGGCTTTCACAAAGGCCTCCCTGCGCTCACGTTGGCACAGGAGGCTTTGTTCATCATCCTGTGTTCAGTATCTGCCAGGTAGTTGGAAGGTGCTTCTGTGCTGATCGCAGTATATCTAACATGCCAATGGGAAGTATGGGCAGTGTAATGACATCTTCCTGGGTAGGTTTGAGCTTTAGACTTTGAAGTGATCACTGCCATGATCTTGCGCAGAGCCTAGTGCCACCTGCTGCACCAGGTGCTCAAGAGTTGGTGTGTCTTTTTGCTTATTCAAATATGGCTTCACCGAAGTATTGCATCACGGAGCTTCAATGATGGTATTTTTTCAGTATAGCACTCGATACACACCTGGAGCACCTTTCTCATGGGAACTGAATCAAGCATGTGTTTGGAAGGGTTGCCCATTGCGCAACCTTTTGTTCTGCCATGATAAGCAATATGGTGGTGTTTCCAGCCAGCTTGTACTATGGTAGTCGCTCAACTGGGCGGCAAGCAATGTCCTTTTCACTCGCCCAGAGCCTGTTTGTCAGTCAGTTTGTCCAGTTGGCACATGTGCCTGGCTGTGTGCTTTGAACTGGTACTAAGAAGGGGTCACTGTGCTCAGGCCCTCCACCTCTCCTGTTCAATCTTCTTGACTCTTGTCTCCAAGTTTCGTGAGTCTCTGAAAGCTGAGATTGCAGTGTTTTTCCCGATGATTCTGTTAAAGTCAATCGAGCCACAGATTGGGAATCCAGCCGCTGCCAGCGGTGCTCAGCAACCTGCGAACACTGTGACAACAAGCCATGCCCACCAGGTATGGACAAATGCTGGCCACACGACCACCCTTCGATCAGAATTGTTCTGGTGCTGTGTGTGAGACTGCATGAGGTCATGCAGTGGTATCTGATTATGCGCAAAATAACCGTTGGCCTGATCAACACTACCTGAGATGTGGAAAGGGGAGGCTCTCTGCATTGGCACACAGTCCTCCTGTGTGCCAATTCATGGACAGGGGAGCTATGACATGGTGTGTCATTTGCGGTCATGGTCATTTATCTCACCATGCCAAACCCACTGCCACAGCCAGCAATTGTTTGGTAATATATTCATAGTGCGATTACCCTTGCCCCTGTGCGTTGATAAGGTGGCCTGAGGTGAGAAAGCTGTTGCACCCTTGAATTGCTCACAACGATCTTGAAAACAAATTTTGCAGTGCATATTCATGGGATGTAAGATCCTAGAACTTATTGTCTTGGCAGTTTCTTTGGGCTGAAGCTTGCACTAACAACCATCACTGTGGTGGCCCGGCCAGATTGTTGTCCTCAGGTGCCTGCAGGCCCACTGCAGTGATGGGCAGCTGCTTGTTGACCTGTTTGTGAACTACGACTGTGACCTGGACAATGCAAACGTGTTTGAAAGGCTGGTGATGGCCCTCAAGGGGAAGGCCCTTGGCCATGGGATGGAGAAGGACGCTGAGAAGGTTAGCCAGCAAGAGGCCCTATTGCGACTAGAGTCTCTGAGGTGCCTCGTGAACATCGTATCAGCGTTGGTGACTTGGCATCAGGCGCAGCAGCCAGGGGAGATGGTGGTGAGAACACTTTTCCAGCTGGATTTTCCTGTGGGTTTGGGTTTGCAGGAGCAGCTTGGGATAATGTGCAGTGAGGATGGATGCATTGTCGTTCATCATCAGGGCTTCTGGGTATGATATGTCATGATCTGCAATTTATTCAATGTGCTGTAGCTTGATGATGGCAATGTGTTCCACAGTCTCTTGCTTGCATGATGCCTGGCATGTGGTGAAACTGGTTTGTTGTTTCGCTTCTTTTGCCCTTGTCTCTCTATTCCCTGTGGCTTGGGGATATGTTGTTATCTGGCAAGATGTTGCATCCAAGGGCCTGTGACAGGCCTGGCGTGTGCCACTGTAGAGTAATGATATTCATGTGTTTCTGTTGATGTGCAAACCGGGACTCTTGACATCTTGCCAACTCCGATGTGTGCTGTATGACAAGTGTGCTTGCATTCACAGAATCGTGAAAGTACTGCAGAGGGTAGCGACGAAGACGACGAGGGTGAGAGCCAGGTAATTGTGGTAGCAGAGGCATGCCAAAAAACGGTGCTCTTGGCTTTGTGGATGAGTGCTTGGTCGCCTCACACAGCATATGGCACTGCAGACTGCTGGACAATTCTTGCATTTTCCCAGAAGGTGGAGGGGCAGACCTCATCAAGGTATTGACATATCTGTTCAACGAATCAAATATGGGCTTGGAACCAGAACAGATAATGGCGCTTTGCTTACCTTTGGACTATGCTATTGGGCATTCTTAACTAAGCCCCCCACATCGAGTCGTGCATTTCTGGAAGGGCATTCTGCAGGCTATAGTTGCAGTTGTTTCTCTCAGTCTGATGAAGGAAAACAATGTGCACTGTGTCAACGTCTGCTGCTTTATCAATATGGACATCACACATGTCCAGATCGTCGTGCAATTCGGGGCTAAGTAAACTCTTCAGTGTATTTTCTGCAAGATCAGGCTGTAATCGAGTCTTGTTGTTGGTTGCAGTTTGGTGGCCGTTCATCTCGTCTTCTCAACACAACATCAAGCGCAGCTCCATCATCTCCCAGAAAGTATGTTTGCTTTCGTCCTGCTGATGGGGCAAGAGCCAGGAGGCTGTTTGTGTCACTAGATTTGCAGTTCGCTTATTGTGAACACTGAGCCACAAGCAGGGTTGGAACCCTGCTGTGTCCATGTTGTTGCCAAGATTTTCATGTGGTTGCTGTGGTTCTTTCTGTTTGATTGCTGTTTTGGTAGCCAGAAGAGAATGCTCCTGCTGTGGCGCAGCGTGACTGCTGTTGACAATATTCTAACATTCTGAAGCGAGCAGCCTCCACAAGTTTCGGTGCCTGTAACAGCAGGATGTTTTCTGGTGTTTACTTCATGTGTATGTTGGAGCAGATTTCAACTGTGATGCGCAACTTCGTGTTGCAATATTTGTTCGTTTTCAAGAGTCCGATATGTGAGCATGCGTTTGATACAGAATTCTGACCACTGTATTGCAGGAGCTCCTATGCCAACATTGCAGATGCTGAAGACACTGGAGGGGCCAGCCAGGAGTCTCTGGTTGAGAAGCGTGCCTTCAAGAAACGGTTCCAGAAGGGCATCAGCCTCTTCAATAAGCATCCGAAGAGGGGAGTGGAATATATGGTACAGGAAGCACTGATTGGTGATAGCCCAGCTGAGATTGCTGCATTCTTGGAGAAGACAGAGGGCCTTGACAAGACCATGATTGGGGAGTACCTTGGGAACAGGGACGAGGCGTGTGTCAAGGTCATGCACGCATATGTCGACTCGCTTGACTTTTCATCCTCAGAGTTGGACCAGGCTTTGAGGTGCGTGCTGCAGGCTGAATCTGGTCTTGGAACCTACTCCTGGATGGCGTCCAGGATTTCACCTTCAAGCAATGCTGGAACAACACACCACTGAACGCTCACAACATTTTGTTGACATAGTAATTCTGGGGGATGCGTGGGGGTGGTATATGGGGAAATGCTGTAAGTATCATCACAACATTGAAGGCATTAGTTTTGTGGCTGCAAATGATGTACAGCATCTGTCACAACTGATGCCGCTCTCTGGCGATATCATGTCCAGGTCATTCTTGATGGTCTTTCGACTCCCTGGGGAGGCCCAGAAGATTGATCGACTGATGGAGAAGTTCGCAGAGCGCTACCTGAAGTGCAACCCAGGCAGTTTCAAGAGTGCTGATGTGGCGTACATCCTGTCGTATTCCATGATCATGCTGAATACAGATCTGCACAACCCGCAAGTGAAGGAGAAGATGACAAAGGAGGCTTTTCTGAAGAACAACAGGGGGATCAACGATGGGGGTGACTTGCCAAAGGAACTGCTGGAAGCCATATATGAACGCATACTGGCCAATGAGATTAAAATGAGGGTGAGAGTTGCGATCTTCATGATCCTGCAGTCATTTCATTGTAGGCGATTGCTGTTGTGCGTACAATCGACCAGTGTCTGTGAGCCTTTGTGTGCTGAGACTGGATGAAAATCAGGTGACCTTATTCTGTTCACCACATGGGCACCACGTCCTTTGCAGTGTACAGTAACACAACGTGGTTTGGGGATATATTTAGGCATACAGGGCGGCAGTATTTGCATCTCCTTTTTCATACTTGTTTAAAACAAGTTGTTTCTGCCCTGCGAAACAGTCTTCAATACAGTCAAAGCAGTCAAGACAGTCTTCAGTTAAAGCCAACACCCAAGTCAGAATCGTCAAGACAGAAGCTGAATCAAGGATAGACAATTTGGGTCCCAACTTTGTGAAGTGGCATGTATTGGTCTGCTGATGATAAAATGTGCATGGTCAGGATGATTCTCTTATTGAAGGCACAGCAGAGGGCGCTGCTGAAGGGACAGCTGCAGAGTACTTGTTGAACCAAAAGGGTGTGGTGTGGTTGGACATGTTCCTGGGGCTGATTGGTCGGCGCCAGGCAACACTCAATGAGCCAAGTGACGAGGCCATCAAGAGGACACAGGAGTACTTGAGGGAGAAAGCCAAGGGTGCCACTTTCTTCAAGTCTGTTGAGGTGGACACTGTGCGACCAATGCTCGAGATGACGTGGGCACCCATGTTGGGGGCATTCAGTGTGCTGTTTGAGCAGTCAGAAGATGAGTATACAATAAGCCTCTGTTTGGAAGGTAAGAATGAAGAAGCCTGGGCCACAGGATTGGGGCCTTTTCCCCATTGGCATCCAGAGTTGTATTTATGGAGTTCAGGGAGCTTTGTAAGGTTTGCAAAATCGAAAGTTTGGTGGGAGGCCACTGCAAACCTTGGGGTTTCCACATATCTTGTTTCCTCAGGGGTATGGGAGCATCTTGTGCCAGGCCAATTGTCAGTGCATGAGGGATAAGAGCTGCAACCTTCAAGGCCAGAACTGAACTGTAGATGGAAAGCGTTGTGGCCTTTCCATGTGTCTGCCAGCAACAGTCAGGGAGGTGGCTTAAAGTTGGTCCAACACGAGGTTAATTGCTGCCTCCTGTGGAAAGGGATGGAGAAAAACCTTGCAACTTTCTTGTGCACCTGTTGTGTAACAGACTGTCATTCACTGTCAATCATATTCACCTTGCTTGTGGACCATGTATGCCATAGTGGCGCGCCTCCTTGCATGTGCACAGTATTCAGCATGAAGCAGGTGATCATCTAAGTTGTTCGGTCAACTGCCTAACCCTCCATGCTGCTGCTGGCTGCCAGGGTATGTCTCGGCTATCAGCATCACTGCCAAACTAGGGATGGCGATGCTGCGTAGCAGCTTCACGCGCAGCCTTTGCCACTTCACATTCCTCCATGCCCCCGCAAGCATGCGTGTGAAGAACGCCCTGGCATTCAGGGCCATACTGGACGTGGCAGAGGTTGTTGGGGACAACCTCAATGAGAACTGGATGGATATCCTGAAGTGTGTCTCCCTTTGGGAGCTGATGTACCAGCACTACTCTGGGACGCCGACAGATGCTTCCCTGTTTGCCCCCGTCTCTGAGGTGAGGAACCTGTTGATGCCATTGCCTGGTGAGGTTGGCCTGTCGCCTTTCTACAATTGCTCCTTGCTATTTTGATTCTGTGATGACATGTCAGTTGTTTTTTCTTTGTGGCTTGAACTCCACCCGAATTTGGCACATCAGACAGGTAGTTTCCAGCCTTTTTTCCTTGTTACATTGTGTGACTGCCTGAATTGCTTTTTGTTGCTGTTGTGTATTTCTTTTTCGTCATCTCCACTTGGGGCTGTGCAAGTCGCGTGAAAGATAGAGTCCACGTGAGGACGTAAAAATGTGCAAGGTGCCAATGGGGGCCCACCGCATATTGTGTCCCTTGCGTAGGTGCTGAATGCGACTGAACACCTGGGGCCCACAGTGAGACTTAGGCAGAAGCTGAAACAGCTGTCGATGCGGTTGGGGACAGACACTGATGTTGCCACTGCACTTGCTGGGCCCGCTGCAGTGGACAGCTTTACAGAGGTGTCTGGTAAAAAGCTTGTTGGAAGGAAGGATTCGTTTGCATATGCACAGGCAAGTTTCAGGAAAGGGCAAACAATTGTGAGGCATCCTGAAACACAGAGCTGGACAACTCAGTGCTCCATTGATGGGATCACGCTCCTAAATTGAAAGGGGATGCCACAGTGCTGTCCAAAACAGATGTCTGCGGGAAAGATTTGCTGCAAAGTTGCTACAGACTTCCATTGAGTAGGAGATGCAAGCCTGCTTGTTGCAGCAAGGAGGATGCCAAGTGGTTGTGATGGAGATGTCAGTGAACAACATACATGTGCGTTGACCTTGTTTTCTGTTTGCTTCTGTTTGGGTTGGCCTCATCGATGTTTGGGCTGCTGGTCGATGTTTCTGACCATTTTCTGTGTTCAACCAGATTTTGCGGCAGGTCGACATCCAAGCCCTGAACCGCTTGTTTGTTAATAGTGAACAGTTGGACAGTGAGGCCATTGTCGATTTTGTGAGTGCTTTGTGCAATGTTTCGAGAGAAGAGCTGAAGTCTGTTCAGTCACCAAGGGTGTTCAGCCTTACAAAAATCGTGGAGATTGCCCATTTCAACATGGGCAGAATCAGGTGCAGTATGCATATTCAACAATATCTGCTGAGTGCTCAGACATGATGCACAGGAGAATGTGGACAGCACTTAGTGGATAGCTACAGTACGAGTGAAAGGTGGAAGTGGATTTGACAAGCATGTAAAATGGCTCTATTCATTGTGCTGCCAGGAGCTGACCAATGCACAAACTGCGAAATTTAGTATGGCTTCAGTGTAGATCATTGGCTTTGAGCCTGCACAGGGTTTGGAACAGCAACAACAATGCACCAGAAGTAATAGGCCACATTAGAAGGTCACGCTGTATGTTTGAACTATTGAGTCGCCTCCATTGTCTTTTGTCCTTGAGAAGAATAGATGTTTTCCAGCTCGGCCAAGCTGTAGTCCAAACAAGATAAGTGCTTTTGGTGAGGCTGAAAGGCACGTTTGTCTCAATCTGGGATGGAGAACATGTTATGCAGCTGTTAAATCCTCCTCCAGGCAACCTTTCTGGAGACGGTTGTCCATATTGTTTTGTCAGTCTCCAACTATCCCAGGACAAGCATGCAACAGTGGATTCTTTGTGCCCCAGTGCTTTCTATCCTGAGGCACCTGGGTTACTGTGAGAAAGCAGATGGCCAAGGTCATCTTTGGGAACACTGAACTGGTTCAACAATTGCTAGAAAGTGTTCTGGACTCAGAGATTTTGAAATGTGATGCACTTGCCTTCCACCAGGCTGTGGAATTTGTGCGCGTCAGTAGTTTTCCCTGCGCCTCCCTAGTGCCCTGTTTGTCTTGCAAGCAACCAGTCAATGCGATATGCATTCTATGGCACCAGTGCCCTCCGTGGCACCAGTGCATTCCAGTGTATTCCAAGCAGGCAAGTCTAACATGGTAGTAGAGGTTAAACCAAGTCCAACTTATGTTTAAACCTAGTCTATGCTTAGTGGAGGAAAACCTTAGTCCCAATTGGTGCTTTTCCTAGCCCAAGCTGAGGTTCCTGTATGGAGGCTCAACCTGGTCCATATTGAAAAAAATGCTAGTCCAATTTGAGGTTCGACCTGGGCGAATGTCACATACCCTTCAGTTGTGGATGTGAAGGATTGCAGGCCATGAAGGGTACAAGGGTGTACTACCCTATGCCCTGAGCCCCAGACCGAAAATCCCTCAGCCGCAGCCCCTACATACTCAAACCCAAGACTAAACTACAATCCAAAAGCTGGAGCCAAAACCAACCTCAAATGACCTCCTCACCTTCATATCCACAAATCGTTGTTTGGACTTTGGTTGAATCTTCATTCCAAAGTAACACGAGGGCATTCAACAGACGGTTTCCCCATGTCTTCAATGCTGAAACTTCACTGTCTCTCTGTGCAGGCTGGTTTGGAGCCGAATCTGGTCTGTGCTCTCTGACTATTTCATCCAAGTTGGCTGCTCCAGCAACCTGTCGGTGGCAATGTATGCCGTGGACTCCCTGCGCCAGCTGTCCATGAAATTCCTGGAACGTGATGAGCTGGCCAATTACACCTTCCAGAATGACTTCCTAAAGCCTTTTGTGGTGGTGATGCGCCAATCCAAGGCTGTAGAGATTCGTGAGCTCATCATTCGGTGCGTCTCCCAGATGGTGTTGGCCAGAGTCAACAATGTGAAGTCAGGGTGGAAATCCATGTTCATGGTTTTCACAACCGCTGCAGGTAACTTAAGGGCACCTGGCCACATTTCTTTAAGAGTTCCGTCTGGCATCATGCATTTTACTTTGTTTCCGAGTGGTGCTGCTGGTGACACTGGCAAGCAGGCGCGCACTGTTTGTGCGTAGGGAACACCTTGGCCCTTGCGTAAGCTGTGGGTGTTGTTCCTCTAATAGCCTTCTGGCTGTGGGTAGAGCCACTGGACTTGGTCCTGGTATATGTCGTTGATCCCAGTCCATTGGGCCTTTAGGCTCCAAGGCTTTTTGTCTTTATAAAGCATGTGCGTGCAAGAAGATTTCTTACGTATGCTTCTACAACAAAGATGTGCGTGTCACTGTCTGCGCTATACCCGCGTGTGCAACAACGGAAACTGAATTGTCCTTGCTGTTGTCCTTGTGCCTGCACATGTCGCTTCGGCACAGTGCAATTGATGGTGGCTTGTGTGGTGCCCAAACAGGGGATGAGCAGCCCAACATCGTGAGGCTGGCATTTGAGACCATTGAGAAGATCGTGCGTGAGCACTTCAACTACATAACGGAAACGGAGACAACAACATTCACAGATTGTGTGAACTGTCTGATAGGCTTCACAAACAACCCACACAGCTTGGATGTGGCTTTGAATTCGATTGCTTTCCTGAGGTTCTGTGCTCTCAAACTGGCAGAGGGATCGATAGGTGAGCCGGAGAATAGGAGCGTGCAGGCTACGATTGGGTCCATGTCATCAGCAGTATTGTCAGTTGTTCGTTGGTTGTTCATCGAGTATGGAATAGTTGTCATGAGAATTTAGACCAACTGACTTGCCAACAGCATATATAGACCAATCCCATTTGGTAGTCCCTTGCTTCCATGCCCTTCATATACTTGGTGTTGATCGCACTGCAGATTCGATCGGTGCGCTGATAAAACTGCAGTGCAGATGTCTGCATCTGATTATGCATCTTTGTATGCACCATTATGGCTGGGCACAAACAGATATGCAATTTCAACGAGAAGTCTGTGAATGATCAATACACCCAGCATCGCCTTGCAGGTGCAAGGGGAGCGGTGTGTCATAGTTTGGCAGATGTGTGGTGAATAGTCTCCATCCACACCCCTGTGTTCAACGCCCCCTCTCATCTGTTTCTCTGCGCAGGAGACGTGGAGGGAGAGCTTCCCAAGGATCTCCCCCCGGCCGCCACAAGCCCCACCCGCATTGTGCCCGCAAAGACGGCCGACATGGAAGAGCTCGCCCAGCACCGGCAGCCCTTCCTTCAGTCCACTGCATCGACTGCAGAGACTGGGGAGGGCGACGCCGAGAACCCGCTGCAGAGCATGGGCTCATCCTCCTTCCGGTCCCTGCCCAGGGGGATCCACTTCACAGACAAGGATGAGCATGTGTACTTCTGGTTTCCGCTGCTGGCAGGCTTGTCCGAGCTGACATTTGATCCACGGAAGGAGATCCGCAGCAGCGCGCTGGAAGTGCTCTTTGACACCCTGAAGTTCCACGGCCACTCCTTTGCACGCTCGTTCTGGGCCAGGATTATTGACTCGGTGCTGCTGCCCATTTTCGACCATGTCCGCGCAGAGGTAAGAAATCTAGGAATGGTCGTTGCTTTGGGGGTCTGAGCACTGTCTGTTTCAAGTGTTGCTGTGCAGCTATCTACTGGGCCTGTCCTGATTACTTGAGGAAGGGTTTTGGGTGCCTCAATGTTTCTGTTTACAGTGCTGTTAGACTGTGCAAAACGTATTCATACTGTGCCGGATGATCTTTCGAAGCTAAGCATATGCCGTTTTCCACTCTCGTTCAGCAACCTTTCTGTACTTTCTCCGCTAATCTGAGCTGGCCTCAGCCACCCAGCATAGTTTCTTATGATACGTCCCCAACCCTGCTACCCTATCATGGATGTTCAAGCCTTATTTGGCATGGTGTAGCAGTGTACCAAGATAGACTGACGTCACAAGATGCTTGGCTGTGTCTCTGAGCAGGTGTTCCAGCTGTGCCGATGGCGCTTGCTGTCATGGTACATGCAGTTCACTCTCTTTTGTCGATACTTCTGTAACATGGCCAAGCCCAGGACAGACAAAAATTGTATGTGCATGCCTTGTGCATGGACAAAGCGAACCGGTGATTCCACCGCTGCACGCTACCTGTCCCTTTATTTGCTCAAGCGGGCCCTTTGCACAATATCCTAACCAAGTGGCTGCTTCTAAGAGTATTGAACTATTAAAGATATAACATAAAACCACGTCTGTGAGTGTGGTTCAGTGCTAGCAGTGCAGTGTGCACCGCGTTCTGCAGTTACAGTCACCAGTAACAGTACCTGACAATACAGGGCACAGTGACAATATCAACAACAGAGTCAATGACACTGGTAACAATATAGATGTATAGGTATCTTCCTGGAATGTGGGTGTTGTGTTCCTTACTAAGCCAACGTTTTAAATCCTGCTGTGGTGCACCAGGTGACCGACACGACCACGTTCACCCATGACAAGCTGAGGGCCCAAATCGACGCGTGGCTGTACGAGACCTGCATCAAGTGCCTGCAGCACCTGGTGGACCTGTTCCTCAAATTCTACGGCGCCCTCCACACGATGATGGACCGACTGCTGTCCCTGCTCTCCGGGTTCATGCACCGAACGCACCAGAGCCTGGCCTCAATGGGCGTGGCGGCGCTCCTTCGACTGGTGACCAACGTGGGACATTTGATGTCCAAAGATGAGTGGCACCAGGTGTTGACAGTGCTGGAGACCACAGCGAGGGAAACGGAGCCTGCTGTGGTCAGCCTCGTGACTCCTCCCACTCCCACAGAGCACCAGAGGCACATTAACCGCAAGTCGAGCGACTTGACGACCACCCTGGAAGGGGCTCCCTCTGCTCGCGGTGGCTGGACGCTCAGGCAGGGGAAGGGGGCTCGCCGCCTGGCGGAAGTGAGGTGCAGGGATGCGATTCAGCTTCTGCTGGTGCAGGTGCGATGCAGCAGTGAGAAAATGCACAGCCATGCTGCAGTATGCCGCCTGTGTACATTGCTGTTTGTGTCACGGAGGTCACCCAGATCTGGCGGGGTAACAAACATGTCATGCAATACCTGCATATATTGAAAGGACTGTCTGCTGTGCAGAACAAGTTCAAAACTGTTGGATTTTCTTGAAATACCTAGGGCACGAAAAGGAACGCAGCTGGGCATGGGTGGCAGTCAGTTGCCGCCCTTTTCAGATTCAGCACTGTGGCAGTGTTGCAAAATGTACAAGTTCCCTGTTCGCCTAAATCGAGGTCTCTCTTCCCCTTACTCCATGCTCAGGCCACAGGCGAGATATACAGCCATCACTGTAAATTGCTGGATGGCGACCTGACTGCCTACCTTCTGCGAACACTGCGTACAATCGCCAGCCGATCACGGGCGACCGACTGTGATACTGGCCTCCGGCAATGCCTAGCAGTGCAGCAGGCGGAGGATGCGATCCCTGGCGACTTTGTGCTGACGGACCCCCCCCTGCTACGGCTCGAGAGCGAGGCCTCACACACCTACCTCTCCATCCTGCTGCACCTGAACATGGAGGGCGATGTTGAGATCAAGAAGTCATGCGACGTGGAGACGCAGCTGGTGAGAGCTCGTGCAGTTGTCATTTCGGTTTCGCAATTTTCAACACTGTCCTGCATTTCACACCGCGTCATCAGACCATCGGTGCAAGCCACAGTTGTATTCTCTGTTAGGCCCTGAAGGTTCTGATGAAGTGGGTGAGAGGGGGGTGGGTGGGAGAGATTGCAGCAATCATTTGTGGGCCTCTGCATTCGACAACTGTGCTGCTGCGTTCAGTGCAGCGATTTGGACCTCATCCACGGGACCTGCTGCTTAGCCATTAGCGCACCTGTGTGCACAAGACAACCATGCGAACCCCCTGCGGATGTCATGGGTGGGAATTGCCTCGCTTGCGGCGACGGCCAGCAATCAGCCATGCAGGCCCTCGAACAGCCGCTGATCGTCTGGTCATCGGCGCAGGTGGACCTGTGCGTGGCCAATCTGGAGCGGTTCGTGGCCGGGAGCACGCGCAGGCAACAGGAAGAGGTCGCCTCCGCCAGTCCCCGGGAGCCAATGTCTCCTTCCGGCTTGGGCCGTGTCGTGACGCAGACTACCGACGGCCACCCAGTGGTCCTGGCCTCGACGGCGGCCGAGTATTCGATGTACTCCCCGCTGGTGGTCGCCACTCTGAGGGCAATTGGCTCCTTCCCTGACGCCATGTTTCGAGAACACCTGCAGCGCTTCTTCCCCTTGCTGACGGGCCTGATAAGCTGCGAACACGCGCCCCTCGACGTGCAGCAGGCGCTGAGTGACGTCTTTGCCAAGAGGATAGGCCCAATGATGTGACGTGCCGAGGGATGCAGCAGGACGAGCCTGCCCTTGCTGTCTGGTGGCTGCTCATTCGTATTCGTTTTTCTGCTTAGGGTAGCGCTTCAGGAGTTTGACGAGTGGGGGGAAGAATGTATGGGTGTGCTGCGTAGGATTAACTGAGAGATGGCATGGGATCAGCACGAGGCGTCGAGCTTGTGTGCGTTGATTCACCACCTGCCGTAGATCCCTGCCGCAGGTTGGCGTGCAGCATGGCACGTGCAAATGTCTACTTGTTCTGGAACTCGCCTTGGAACTTGCCTTGGAATCGTACGACGAGCTGATGTTTGTTCATGATTGGGTTACCTGCCACGCGTGGCACAGGCTGTGTCACACACTCTATGTTCTCGCGCGTTCCATGAGTGCTGTCGACGTTCGCTGGGCCCCATGCATTGATCTATTGCGCACTGCTACCACAGTGCATATGCAATCTACCTTTGAGCATTGGCGTCAGCGTTTTGACTCGCGCAGCACGTTGTAGCAAACGCAGCTGTGGTGGCTGTTCTTTGATCATCAATCGGAAATGTGCGATGCTGGCAGCACTATTGATTGCAATGTTGCTCCAGCTTCAAGTGAAGAAGGGGACCTTAGCGATCGTGGATCCGGACGACCTTCTGTGACCATGCCTCGGGGCTGGTTCGTGCGCTCCTACTGCAGAGCAACAACTTGATTTGTACAGTTAGCGGACCGCCCACCCACGGTGTACATTGCCGCCCACTGATCAACCAAGGCATGCTGGGATATTGCCGCGACCACCCAGACACTGGTGGGCCATTGTCCAAAACCTTGTGCGGTCCGAGCGTCCCCACTGTTCGCTCCGTGTGCCCTCTCTCCCACCGACTTCGTACACAATAAGAATGGTGTTGCCCTCGAAGCTCTCACAGTGTGATCGTGCTCCTAAACAGAAAACAAAGAACTGAAAGAGACGGTAACCGTAGTTTTCCGTCTCCTAACCCCTGTCGTCCAGCGTACAGCAAATGTACTCAACGAAGGACCTCGCCCGCTCTCGCACAGCCGTTCCCGAAAGCCATGCGGCGCGACCTCGCGCTCTAGTCCGCTGCGCTCTTCAGCCTAGAACTTGCACGAACCTTCAGTTCCTTGAGCACCGGCGCCATTCTCTCCCTCACAGGGGCGCGTGCGCTCGCGTGCGTGGAAGTCGCATCGACGGACTGACAGACGGAACTGTCCGCAGAACAGAACTGCTCCGCGACGGACGTCCCCATTGTGGTGGCCGCCGAGTTCGGCACTGACAACCGGGCCACATTAAGGAGGGCGGACGTCGAACAGCCACCGCTTGCGGACGGCGCCGCATTGGCGGCCGCGACTTCCGGACCACTTGACGAGGGGGGCGGCTGCGGTGGCGTGCCAGCGCTGGTGCTGGCGCTGCTGCTTGTCCCGGAGCACCTGTACGTCCCGAATGAGGGGTTGGACGGGCCGCCCCTGCCCGGCTGGGAGGCGAGCCGCTCCATCATGCTCTTCGCCAAGGCAAACCTGGACGCGGGGCCCGCGGCCGGGGTGCCTGCCTGCGGGGGCGTCACTGGTTCGCTCATGCTCCTTGGGGACACGTTCTTCGGCACCGCCTTGGGCGCTCCCGATCCGTTCAGCGTCGGGCTCACCCTTTCCGTCATGCTCTTCGCGGAGGCGAACCTGGAGGAGGAGGTCGCCATCCTCCGGCGCTGCAGCACCTTCTTCAGCTCCGCCATCAGGGAGTCCCCACATTCCGGCTGCGCCTCCTGGCGGGCCTGCGCCCTCGGCGCGTTGCCGGACAAATTCTCCTTCGACCCCTCCGAGGATTCCAGACGGATTTGCACGCCGTCCCTTTCGTCTTTGACGTCCGACGGAGGATCAAAGACCTGCGAGGAGACGCTCCGGATGGACGCGTCGGCCGCCGGCAGGGCGCCGGCCAGGAACGGGTGGACAAGCAGCTCCCTGGCGCTGGCCCGTGCCTTGGGGTCCAGCTCGAGGCAGCGGCCCAGGAAGTGGGTTGCCTGCGCGGAGGCGCCCTCCGGGTAGGGCGGCGGGCCCTTGGCCGTGGCGATCTGGTACATGACGGAGCAGCCCGGGTGGCCGGCCGCCCCGCCCCAGGGCGGCTGGCCGGTGGCCATCTCTATCAGGGTGCACCCCACGGACCAGACGTCCGCCTTGCGGCCGAAGCCCTCCTGCCTGATGACCTCGGGCGCCATCCAGTAGGGCGTGCCCTTGAGGGAGCTGAAGCCACCGTGAACGCTGTCGCCGTCCGGGCCGCCACGCGGCGTCTCCTGCTGCTTGGACGCGCCGAAGTCCGCGAGCTTGACGGAGCCGGACTCGTTGACGAGGATGTTGGCGCCCTTGACGTCCCTGTGCACGATGCCGTTGCGGTGCAGGTACTCCAGGCCCGCGACCACCTGCGCCGGGTGGAGGCCCGAATGACGTTGTCGTGTGGCATTTGTGCGCCACATTGGCGACGGAGATTGGGCAAAAGCGCCAGTTTAATGTTGGTAATGCGCCCCCACGCGAAAGGGACCAAGTAAGAAAAGAATCCAGATTGGCAGGCAGAAATAAGGGTGCAAATTCGTACGAGACGGGCCTCACCTGCTTGAGGTACGCCCTGATGACGACCTCTGGAAGGGGGCCGTACCGGTCCAGCAGAGACGCCACGGAACCGCCGCCCATGTACTCCAGGAATATGTTCACCGAATCGCGCGTCCGCTCGACGCCCAGGTAGCCTATCACGTTGGGGTGCGATAGGCCACTCAGCACCCTGATCTCCTCCTCGATGTTCTTCAACCGATCCCTCTGTTTCGGGGTGGGCCGGAGAGGGATGAGCACCTGCACGATGGCGCGATCCCTTCGCTGCCGTGTATTGGAGGAAATGAGCCGAATCCGTGGTTCACCGACCAACAAAGGCGAAGCGGGACGATTCGGGCCAGGAGGCCAATGACCTTGCGGTGCAATTTCAAATGCAGCCGGGCGCCTACCAGGATGGCGCCGTTTTCCGTGATGCAGTTGCGCCAGTATCGAGGAGTGTTGGCCGCGGTGCGATTCGAGTTCTTTACCTGTTTGATGGCGATGGGCTGCCCGGTGTCGAGGTCCAGCCCGACGAAGACTTGCCCGAAGGCCCCCTCGGCGACGGCGTGGCCCTTTGCCCACCGCCGGGGCGCGGACCGGCGTCCGTCCTGCCCATCCGGCAGGCCCCCGCCCTGCTCGCCCGCGTCAGGCGGAGGGCAAACGCCCCGAGAAATGAGGTAGTCGATTTGCGTCCGCTTGGCACCCCGGTTTCTGCAGAATCTGTGCCGGTGGGGCTCCAGCTGAACGAGTGAAGGGTTGTCCCCGTTGATGAGGGGTGTGTGGGAGGCTTCATCCATGGGGCCGGGGGTAAGGGGGTCCTGCCCCAGCGTGTCCGGGCCGGCCTTCTTCATGGGGCAGCATACGTTTCCCATTTGTGGTGGGGATGTAGCCGGAAGCCCTGCGGCCCGCCTGGTCGGCAGGCGTCGCGGGCCCCAAGGATCTTCACGGAAATTGATGTGAAATCACCTGAGCTGTGAGGGAGAGAAGCCGGCGAAGACGTGCCGTGCTTCCAGGCTTTGAAAGACACCCTTTCAGGACAATTTAGCACAAGCAAGTACTGTAAAGCACTGAACCTTATATCACTTTTCCCCAAAACAAACAATTAGTAATTCCTTGTTTGTGACTGAAGTATGGCGTACTCTGAGGCAGCACCAAGCCACGGAAAGTGGGTATTGCAGGGGAGTTCACTGTGCACTTCAAAACAAACTCAGGTTGGTGTCTTTGGAATGGAAATTTGATCGCTGGGTTTCTGAGCGATACGAGGACCACAACAAACAATTCTGAACTGCAAGATTCGATTGCACTGTTAACTCCTGCACAAGCTGAACCTCCCAGGTAACCCATAGGCAACAGAAGATTCCATTTGCACGGCAACGAGGGAATGCCAATGCCAATCATCGAGGAGCGGAGCCGACGACACAAAATTCTAAATCAGGTACCGCGAGGGGCATAAGTGATAAGAGTCAAATCTAGAGGGTTGCCATTAGAGTACATTAGTCCTGAGAATCAGTACTGACAGCTCTGCCGCCCCTGTGCATCATCTCACCCGACAGAGGCTAGAGAAGCCACATCGGCTATCCTGGCGCAGACAGGGGAAGACAAGCGACCCGAATACCACCTACCACTTCGTCGAATGCGACTCGCGAGTCCACTGTAGTTCCCAAGTTTCAGTATTTCCCTCTGCACTTGGTCAGGGATAATTGCCCTCAGCACCCGTTCCGCCTGTCATCGGGGCTCACCGGGTTGTCTCACAGCATATTGCGGCGCTACGTACTCAGCACATCCGCAGTTCACACCTTGAACTTCAACGACCACCAATGAGAACTGCCACTAATCGCTAATCAGTGAATGGGCCTCTTGTATGATAGGTGGGTCAGCTGAACTGTATCAGACGACGAGTAACGTGATGCCAGGTGTCCTATATTGATATGTCGAAATCCTCGCGAGCCACTCATGTACTTGTTGAACTCTTTGCCAAGGACAATGTCCAGTCGCGTGACGATACCCCTGCAGTGCGTTTGGCACGTGTCCCACTGTGCTTTGACCAAATTAGAAGCTAATGCGCATGATTTGGTGACGTGGCTTGCATGCACCATTCAGATTGCGAGGTTCTAATGGTGCGCTGTTTTGGGCCTAGTCTGGGCTTGATCTGATATTTCAGGATTTATGATGTGAGTTAGTACCAAGAATGATGGGTGCATGATGCACTGTCCAGAAGCTCAAGAAGAAAGGAAATGTTCCCGACGGTGTCCATTTGTGGCGGCAAAGAAAGCAAACGAGCCAGCGACGAATAATTTGTGCGCACATGTGCACGTTTTTTTCTTCTTTTTTTTTGCATATGCGCAACTGCGATATTGTGCGTGTGCTGGAACAACATATTTGTGAAATAGCTATTATACCAACGGGAATTTCATGGCGGGAATTGCCACTCGCCGATGTGTTCCTGCGCAAGTGTTGAGCCCAAAGTTGTATATTTCAGCAGTGATGAAATTGCATGCACTGACCGTATTTACTCCCCATTTCCAGGAACTGTTGACGCGTATTTCGCATCAAATTTTGGTCATCGAATTCAACATAAAAACGAATGTGACGCGAACATTGAAGCCAGTTGGTGGAACGAGCACTTCCCTTCACTCTTGGGCTTCTCGTGTCCATGCAAAGGAGATTGTCGTCAGCCAGCAACACCTGTCGCGGAAGGCGCCGTTTGAAGTATGTCAAAATTGACAGACTCCCGCCCAAGCACGCATTGCGTGCCACTTTCTGTTGTGGTCATCATGTTGCCGAGACAATGGCCATAACAAAATGCGGCACTGATTATCAAGCAGCGGGACAAGGTGCGGTCGCGATCTTTTGGAAGTTTCCTCTTCATAGCGGTAAATCTAAACTCAGCAGCCTATTCTGCAACTGAGAAAATGGCAGAATGTTTTGTCATCTGCTTCGTCCTTTATGTAAACTCCTTGCGACCTACATACTAGAACGTGCCACTACAGTGTCACTTTGTATTGGTGACCCTTGTCGCACACGCCCAAGGCGACGGCTCAAGCACGCGTGATGATTGCCTTGTCGCTGTTATCGTTACGATGACCCGGTCGCGGCAGACGTGCAAATCAATGGGCCAGCTCATGCGGTGGAAATGCTTTTGGTAACAGCGCTCTCGTGGGCTATGCGACCGATTGAATGAGCGTCTGCAAGCGCTCCCCATCCATCTGGACAGGGCGGGGACGCATGGTGCTCGGGAGTTGGGGATGAGTCAGGTAATCATTAAGGGCTCCTACCCTGGCTTTTTCAGCAGGTGTTCTCAGCCGGCATCTATGCACACTTGTCTTGAGTGTGGGACATGGAGCAGTGCATGCTGAGAGCAGTTGCAAGGAGAGCAGCGGCCTGGTTTTCAATGTCAACACACTGGGATTGCTGGAGTGGAAAAATGTTCGCTCCACAACCGTATCATTCTTAAGCCTATGAAAATCTATGAAAGTAAAGGACGCGCAGACCAACTTTAGGGTCCTCCTTCTCAGGGACCTCTGCGCTTTTCGGACGGACCGACAGACCTCGAGACGACATTAAAGGGAACTTTCGTCCCATAGCACAGCTTGGCTGATTCACGGAAGGACAGTGCGCCCAAGAGTTGGTTTGCCTGTGCCCTGCAACCAAATTCGGTTGTTGACAACAACAATCTGGAAGGCTGTCATGGAACGGGTGGGCAAATTATGCAGTGCGTCAGGCATTACAATGAGCCAGTTGACGCTGTTTGTCAGGTGTTGTGATGGCGGGGACGCCTTAAAATCCACCAGGAATGTCCTCACTCCGAGTTGCCTCCTAATATTCCTTGTTTTTGATGCAGTGGCTTCCTGATTGAACGACTCCTTGCTTGACTGACTTATCGATTGATGGATAGATTGGTGGATGGATGGATTGATGGCATGGTTGAAGGATTGATTGATTGATTGACTGACTGACTGACTGACTGACCGACTGACTGATTGACTGATTGACTGATTGACTGATTGACTGATTGACTGATTGACTGATTGACTGATTGACTGATTGATTGTTTGTTCAACCGAGTCGTTGACTGTCCAAAACTCACCTTCCATGTCAACCAAATCAAATATTGCACGATACCAGTGGAGCCAGGCAGCCATCCGCTCCGTTTTGCCTGAGAATGGCAGCGTCCACGATTCGCCCAAGGGAATCGATCAGTTGCTCCTGAGAGCATTTTTGTCGGTGGATGCTATTGTCCCGGCGGTGCTATTCGGCTACTCGAATAGCGCCACACGTCAAAAAACCATCATTAACGGTTGGGGAGCAATAGCAATCCAATAGCACCGCCGATGCTATTCGGTGCTGAGCGTGGGCCCGATTAGCACCGCTCGAGGCCAGATAGCACCCGGTGCTATTCGTGCAGACCATTGTAGTGCTGCCGTGATGCTATTCGGTATAGGAATAGCAACCAACATTGCGGATGTGCGCAGCGGAGCAATAGCACTGGTGCCATTCAGCAAATGCCGCCTTAGTAAGGTGGCGCAGCGGCCAATGAGAACCGTTCCTGGATACCTCCGCCGGTGCAATAGCACCGACCAATGAAGATGCTCTTACCCCGCACGCCGAGGACACAGTTCCGGAAGGAAGGGGGAGCGAGGCCCGTTTTTTCATTCGTGGGCCCCTCCAACCCCCGCCCAAACCTCGGCCCCGACCAACACAACACAGTTCCAAGACCCCAGTCCGCGCTCCCTCCGGCACGCGGGAGGCGGCCCCTTCGCGTCGCGGGCCCTCCACCGCCGATCCGCCACGGCCACACGCGCTCAGGCGCCGCGACACCGCCGCCCGCCATGGAGGCACGCCGCCCCGTCAACGATTCACAATCCCGCCCCTCTTTCCCCCCCGCTCCCCCCGCCCCGCGCTGGCCGGCCGCGTAGCCATCTTTCCCATCTCTCCCCCCCTTCCCAGCGCCGGGGGTCGATGTCCAACCTTGATTGAGTGGCGGTTCCGAGCAGCCATCGCGCGGTCTCATGGCTCCCGTGGCCTGCCCGCTCGCAGGGGGATCCCCTGGCCACGCCCGGCACAAGCAACGGCGCGGGGTCGCGCCCCGCGGGCCAGCCGCCCGCGTACGAGAGCGTGGTGATGGCCGACGCGGTGGGTGGTGCGTGCGCTGGATCGATGGCTCCGGGTCTGGGCGCGTGCGCTGGGATCACGCGCTCTCCGCTGACTGGGTTCCGGGCGGCTGCGCTACGCAGGTCTCGTCATCCTCCCTGGCCGCGGGAAGGGACTCGGTGAGTGGGCGTCGGCGTCGCGCGCGGACGCGGCGCCCGTGCGCCGATCCATCTGCCCGCCCCATTCGCCCTGCACCCTTTGGTTGAATTGGCTTGGTCTGGTTTGAGCGCCACCACGCGAGTTGTGAGCTTCCCCAGGGCAGTGCTCAAGGCGAGTAGATGGACATCAGGACGGGGGTGCGGGTGCAGGTGTGCGGGGGTGTGGTGCAGGGGCCGCTGAACTGTGCGCCGTGTCAGTAGTTGATGATTCCTTTCTCGCGCCTGTGAGAGTTTGGCTGGCCCTTGCTGACCGATTTCGCGTGTCGTCTGTCGCCAGAACTACCGAAAGTCTTCCGAGTTCGAGATCACGGTGACCGACCCTGTCAAGCAGGGCGAGCGCGTGGCGGTGCGTGGGGAGGGACCCGTCCTGCCTGCTTGTCTCTTCCGTGCGCAACTGGCGCACGGCGGACATGGACACTGTTGCGTCGCAGCAATTGACACTTGTGGCTTGTGGCTTGTGATCCCAAATGGGTGTATCACGTGCTTGGAGCTGTGCCTACCCGCCGCACGGTCTGTCGCGCATGTCACCGCCCGTGATGGCTGGCGCATGGTTTCATGGATTGCATTCACAGGGGGATTTTTCCCCGGTTTATTGAGTTCGCGTGCATCTTTTTACTGCTGTGTCAGAAATTGACAACAGCTCCCTGCAGCCTAATTGACGTATTTGCCTCGCAACGGACAGCATTCAAGAGAATCTTGAAGATGGTATCCCTGACTCCCCACGATGCGATGGGGGATTGGGGCGCCCAACATGCCGTTGCATGTGGAGCATTTTGTTCGCCAATGAGCTGTCTTGGGGGGAGCTGGTACTGTTGTCCAATTTGTCTCAATTCGCTGGAATCCATTTCCTACACAAGACACAAAAGGGTCCTTACCAGCAGACAGATGTGATGCTGCAGCCCTGACCCCATTGTCGATGTCCACAGGCCTATGTAACATACAAAGTCCGCAGCAAGACGTCGATGAGCCAATACAAGCAGGGGTCGAGCGAGGTGATACGGCGGTTCCGAGACTTTGCTTGGCTGTACGATAAGCTCCACGAGCGGTACAAGGGGATCATCATTCCGCCCCTGCCAGAAAAGAATGCGGTTCAGAAGTATCAGATGTCTACAGAGTTCATCGAGCAGCGCAGGAGGGGCCTGCAAATCTTTGTGAACCGGGTGGTGAGTCATGGCACGCCAAGATGCTGCACCAGCACAGGGCATGTCTGAGATGCCTCGGATTGGGAAATCGCTACTGATGCATTGTTATGCGTGGCTGCCACAGGCTGCCCATCCCAAACTGAAGTACAGCAACGAGCTGCAGTTGTTCTTGGAGGTGAGAAGGGCATTCAGTTTCACACTTCAGAAGACAACGTGAATTGTTGCCAAGACCTGTTTGCAGCACTGCCAGATGTGCTTACTGTCCCATTCAGTCTGGTTCTGTGAATGGACATCAGTTCGATGATTGTCAGCCGTTGTGCGGTGCATAGCCCATTTGAATGGAAGAGGACATTGTGGAGTGGAAGCTGTGCAAGTTGCTTTCAAACGAAGCTAAACTGCCAAATTTGTTTGGTGGACTTGTAAGCCTGCTAAGGTGGATGTGACTAAGTCGTAGCACAACCCAAACAAGCAATATATCCTCACATGGAATGGCACCAAAGTTGCCAAGCGTACCATAAGAGAATCTTTTGTTGCTCGATACTATTGCACCAGCAGTGCAATAGAGGAATGGTTCTCACTGGCTGCCGTGCCACCTGACTAAACCAGCATTTGCCGATAGCCCAGTGATATTGCTCCCCTGTGTGCATCCTTATAGTTGGGTCTTATTGTTGTGCATCAGGGCACCGTTGCTGTGTCCTGCGGGAACTGCACTGGGTGCTATCTGGGGTGCTATTGCTGCCTAACCATTGACGATGGTTTTGGACATACATTGCTATTCAGATGACCGATTGGCACTTCCAGCGCAACAGCACCCACTAATAGAGATGCTCTAAGCTGGCGCTATGTCAGTGCAGTGCCTTCGTTGATCATATCCTTTTGATTGCATCCGCCCTTTGCAGGGTTGTTGCGCCCAGAATATGTTGAGAAAATGCATGCATCTAAGCTTTTAGTTGGCTGTGTGCATGTCACTGCCTTCTTTCCTTACAGCATTTGCAATGTTTATGTCACAAAGCAGCAAGAAGCTGAATCAAGGCTGCTGCTTTCCAGGCCACTGAGGATGTGTGGATGATGGAAGTTGCCCGAATGAACCAAGAGTCAGGAGGCGCCAAAAAAACCATCAACAACACTATGCAGTTTTTTAAGGACCTTGGCCACTCAGCCACTAACCTGATGGCTGGCAAATCGGATGACGAAGAGGAGGACCCTGATTACCTAAAAGTCAGGGAGTACCTGGTCCACTTGGAGTCCCACCTGATTGAGGCCCATAGGCAATCGGCACGGCTCATCAGGAAGCAGGGCGAGCTGGGCATCGCTGTGGGGGAGTTTGGTCAGGCTGCAGAGAAGCTGGGCAAGTTTGAAGAGGGCTCGCTGCAGGATGCGTTTGTGCACCTTGGCAACCATGCAGGTGTGGGATCGCAGCTGAGGCCCAGCAGAAAGGCATGTGGGCCAAGTGTTGGGTATCTCTGCAGAAGTGCGCGGAGTTCTAAGTAGATGTGTGTAACCACTTTGCATGTTGTGCATTTCTGCTCAGTGATGTGGGCATGCGTCTGTGAAAGATGAATTCAAGGACAGCATTTTATCAACCGTTGGCAACTAGTTGTAGGAGCAGGGGAGCGCTGGCCATAAGACTCGACTCTAAGAACGTATTAAGGTTGTGCATGGTCACTGGGGTCAAAGCTAGAGGCTTGATATTGCCCTTAATTGCTATTCCTCTAAGCTGATGTGATGGCCTTGGGTGTGTGAAGAAGGTGGCTGAATGGCCCGCCCTCATTTTGAAATTCCTGAATCTGCATTTGCCATCTCGTTGTGGTTGACTCTTGTCCATGCATCTACCAGGGGATTTGTCCACCGTATCACGTGACAGTGCCAACTCCCTCTCCTATCAGTTCGAAGCCCCCTTGAAGGAGTTTACCCGTATGATGAAGTCGGTGCGGGCAGTAATGGCAGACCGCACAAATGCGCTGTCCTTCCTGCAGCAGGCCAAGGCAGACCTGGATGCCAAGCGTGTGAAGATGAACAAGCTCAAGAGTACACCAGGCATCAAGGAGGAGAAGGTGGGAATGAGAGACAGCCAGTGTTGTGGACAGGTTGCCAACAATATGATGGCCTTGTGTCTTGCACCTGCAATGCGTTGGTGGGCATGAGATGCCCATGGTTTTTAAAAGCCAAAAGTCTCAAAGGGAGGGGAGGAACTCTTTACCCCGCAGCCGGGTTGAACAGTCTGGCCTTCCAACAAGTGTGGTCTGCACCTTGAGTTGTTTGTTACTAATTCGCACAGGTGGTGGAGGCGGAGCGCGAGCGGGACCAGGCGGACCTGAGGCTGCAAAATGCGCGTGCTGCATACGAGACGATCGTGGAGCGCATGAACGAGGAGCTGGCACGGTTCCAGAAGGAGCGTGCTGTGGAAATGTCTCAGGTGTTGAGGGACTTTGCGCTGGCTCAGGCCCAGCTGGCCAGTGAGACGGCCAGGTCGTGGAGCTCGCTCGTCACAGAGCTGCAACCGGCGGCCCCAGCCTGAATACAAGTACCAACTCCGACGTGCTTGAGGGGTTGCGCAGAATGGCTGATTGGGGAATTCGGCCTGGCCTTGGTGGATATGTGCCATTAGATGGGGAGGTCTGGGAGTGCCATCTGCGCCTGTAAGAATATGTGATGGAATGGAGTCGGCTGGAATGTCTACACTGGACGTTGGGAACCAGCTGTAGAACATGCTGGCAGCAGGAGGCAAGGGGAGGTGAGACAGGGCTGGGGACTGAATGACTGAACCAGTGCAGAGGGTTAGTGTGCCGCGCTTGTTGCGGGCTAGGGCGACTGCCATCTTGGGGCCATGGCCTGTTGGGGCACGACCATTGTTGTTCCTCAGGTATTGGACGGCTCCTCAGTGGGGTTGCCAACGCACTGTACAGTCGTCTTCACGATTTCATTACTGAGAGTGTTTCCTCTCCTGTGGCAGTCCACACCCCGAACAGCCGTTGCGATCTCCCTGGGCATCTTGCCCAGGTGTTGGCCCAAGATTCCCTTGCCCTAAAAAATTCCTCTCCGATATCAACAATGGAAGGGGCAGTGCTTGGCTGCGTTTTCGTTGTCGATGACGTTGCCAGTGAAAATTCGATCCTGAGCGAAGAGGTGTGAAGTTTTGGTCAGCAGTTGAGACGCGCTGATGAATGCCATATGACGTTTCTTGGGCCTCATCCTCTCCATGCTTCCGCAGCCCCTCGCTTCTACAGCTCCCACCACACCAGCGACCCGTTGTCAGATGCTGACAGCAAGGCGCTGCCGTCTGGGCTGAACGTGACGGTGCTCACGCGCCCTGTGTGGCCAGGCAGGCTGGCAATGGCTGACCCGGTCCTGAAGTCCCACAGGCGCACAACCTGTGGACCAGAAATGGGCAAACAAACGCACACCCATGAGTTTTCCTTGCGCCCCATTGTGGGCGCCTCCTTGTAAGCTCGGCGAAGGATTCTGCCCTCACATTTCCCGCCCGGCCCTTTGGAGCAGCGAGCCTATTTCGGGCACTGCTGCTGGGCTCTTGGCAGTCCGGACAGGTTTTGTTCAAAAGGGGGCAAGTGTACTGGCCCGCATGTTTTGCAACACCTCGGTGCAGACAATTGCGAGATACCTGAATCTTCCGGGAGGCGCAGTGTCTTGGGGAATGCGCCTTTCTTCCATCGCAATGCTGGGATGGCATGTTTGCGTTCCACATTCTCCTAGGTTTCAGTACCTCAAGCAAGCGTGCAGCTGTTGAATTATTGGTGAAATCCAAAGGCATGCCTGCACTCGACAGAATCTGTGGAGAAGGGTGACTGCAAGATCGTACCCCATCCGTCCCCCCGGTGGCCACGGACTCCGCCTGCGGCGATACAGAGACGCTGTTCACATCCCCTGCGTGAGCTTTGTGAGCCACCTGTGTCGGCCGCGGCTCCCGAAGGTCCCAGAAGGTCAGGCAGCGGTCTTTCCCCACCGAAACAAACTGCACCTGGGGGCACCACGCCAAGCATCTGATCTCGGGCATGGCGCGACGGTCAAATGCCAGCGCAACATTCATCTTGGGCCCAAGAATCATGCGCGCATGTCGATTTGGCCCGATGTCCACTGCCTTGTGTCGCCGGCTCAGTGTGCCATCCACTTACGTTGAAAATTCCGCGCAACATTCGCTGCTTGATCCAACAACAAATGAGAAGCAAATTGCGGCGCCCTGAGCTTTCCCAGCCTGGAATCGCCGCCGCTGAATAAGGGCCCGAGCACCAGAGATGGACACTCTTTCCATCGGGGAAGAGCGGTGCCAAATGTGCCGCCAATATCACATTGCCGGTTCCCTTGTAAACTCGCAATGAACTGTAACTGCTCAATGCAGTACTGCACAACTATGTGCACGGCAATGCCGTTGACGCAAATGAGGGAGGTCGGAGGGATTGAGCAGGGACAGAGCATGCGGACAAAGATAAGTTCCGTCCCAGTGTTCAGGCACATGTGCTGCGGAGCTAATAAACAATGAAAATATAACATATTGATAAACACAACTGCCAAATATTTCCTCAAATGGCCAGAACACAGGTACGCTTTGGAGATTTGGCACCTGGTCGGCAACGAGGTCGATGTCGTGAATGGCACCCATCTTGGTTACGAACGACGTGAGGCACTTCTCCGCAGCGAAGTCCCACAGCTTTATGGACTGATCTTCGCTGCACGATAATGCGTGCGAATTGTCTGCAAAGGCCCGCACAGCCGTGACCGCGCCCTGCAAGGGATTGAATTTCACGTCATTGGAAATCCTTGCGGAAATTACAAACACCGCACTTGCCCGCCTCTTGAGCACCGGCTACCGGATGCGAAGACCATACTCCCCTATCCCTACGCCCTGATGTGTCAAACACAACGTATGCGGGTAAGTGTACCAAAGCAGTGATGCCAAACCCAAATTGGAGCAAATTATGAGCCGGCATTCCAGCATGCACGGGTGGTGATCTGCTTTAGCATCGATTCAAGCGACTGGTGGCGTTTGCGCCAGTTTTCAATTTCCTTCAATGAGGCTTGATGAGCGGGATGGTTGTCCAGCAGGGCGGGTTCCGCCCATAGCGCAGAGCTTTATTTGCCAGCAGGGGCTTTCAGCCCCCTGAAGGCCAGCTACTTTTGCATACGCGCATACACGAACAGCCGCTAAAATGATGCAATTGCGCGAACCAACTGATTGAATACTAGTAGATTAAACAAAACTTATAATAACTGTGAGCGCGATATAATTTTCATGTATTTGTATCCCGGCTGGTGGTTGTTAATTGCCTACTATCCTCCCCTTTTTCGCCGCACGTTTCCTATTCATTTTCCCTGGTCTTGCCAGAGCATCTACAGCTTATTTGATGCTCTTCAGTCGCTTTTCCATGGACATTCACCCCTGATCCGAAGGCAAGCAGAAAATAAAAGGCAGAACCAGGAAACGGATTGCAAACACGCCGAAACAAGGTGTGAACACCAGAAGAACTGGGTTTCACGAGGAGGGTGACGCAAAATGGCCTCAAACAAGCTGTGGACGCCAATGGTGGAACGGAAAGGAAATGAGCATGAACGGCTTCCAAATTCTCGCCTTTAATATTTCCAGATCAGTACACAGGAGGAAGTTTTCAGATCTCTGTCATTTTTTGGGAAAGTGCAATAGAGTGTCTCTCACCATGTGCTGCTTTAGCTGCGCAACGAGGCCTCGGCTCGCCAAATCCCACACCCTGATGTCGCCTCGCATCCCTCCACTAATTACCAGATCCCCACGCGCCCCAAGGCACATCGCGGAAACTCCTGTCGAATTCCCAAACTTGTGCGCATTCGGAATCACCCAGATCTCCGGGTGGCCGGGGGCGAGGTCGTGGCGGCGCAAATGGCCGTCCGACCAACCGCTCAGCACAAAACCATCCAGCACCCGAGATGACGTCGCTGATCCAAAGGCTGGCTTGCGAAGCCTGTGCAGCAGCTGCCTGTCCTGCAGCACCGCTTTCAGGTTTATGAGTCCCGGGTCCCGGAAGCAAGAATGCCCACCTGCCTGATGCAGAGACTGAATAGAAAAGACCTCTGGTACTTAAGCGTACGGAATCGTACTCAAGCTTGATACGGTTTTAGAAGCGTGTCAAATTCACTTGCTGGGTGTGTTTTGTCCCATGTACTCTAGGAACCATGCAGTAACTCATGGACTGCCGCACCGATAAGAGAATGGCTGTTTGGCCAGTGCTTTGCGGTTGCTGTTCTGCCGTGAGACTCACCCGCGAACTCCATACACAGATGCTCCCGTCCGTGCTGGTGCTGGAGAACGTGCTGCCGTCATTGGCGTCGAAGCACAAATGGTTCAATTCCCCCCGCTGCGTCTGCAGCAGTGGCACTGCCCTCTCCAGGCCATCTGAAACCCTGCATAGATGGACAGGCCGTTGGCCAGGGCTAACTAAGATCTACAGATCTAAAACACTCAAGAGAGGGATTTCCGCAACGCACCGCATCATGAATGAACGTGAGGAAGCAAGAACGCATGGTGCTTCTTGAATGACAGCAATGAAATTTGGGTTACAGCAAGTCGTACACCTGAACAAATTTGGACTGTTTAGCAGCAATGCATAACGCGCTTTGCTGTAATGTTGCGTGAATTACTTACCATGCATAATCCACCAACAGTGTCACATAAACTGCAAAATTGACAAACGACACGTACCGCATGGGTTTGTAAATTTAAAATTTGGAGGAAACTGTGCCAAAACTCTGTTTTGACAGGGGACTCAAGTCGCTGGAAGAGGCCGCTGCTCTGTCCGCTTCGTCAATTCGTCCGGGCGTCTTTACGTACGTTTGTACGTCCATGCTATGTGAATCGTACTTATACACCATATCACCAACGTGTCATGCTGTACAAAGGCACCAACTTGCGCCAATCGACCCCATGCTTTGCTCTCCACCACCAAGAGCCGTACTTGAAAATATCTCCTTCCGACGTGCCGGCAATGACGACATCCCCGTGATCTACAGAGAGAGACGTTATGGAGCCATGCAGCACGGGTGGCGGCACTTCTGTCCTCATGTTCTCCCAGTCGAACACGTTCAGCGTGCCGTCGCCGCCGCCTATGATCACGCTGCCGTCACTTCCCCTGGCCAGCGCGCCGACCCCCAGCGAGCACACGTGATGCACCATCTGCAGATATCAATTTTCGTCGCCGTCAATAGCTTCAATGCTCAGTCTAGCAGTTGTGCATTTTAGCAAGAGCACTGCACAGAACGATTTTAAGAATCGAAATCTGATTTGCCATATCAGGACAAAACACACGTACCGAAAATTGTATATTACGAGTTGCAGCCCTGCATGCCATTCATCGGATATAGTGTATGGAAGGCTTTCAGGTGCAGAAACGAGATTCTGATTTCAGTTGCAATTGAATTAAATAACACTCAGTGTTATTCACTGTATATAACACTCAGTGTTACTGGTTTACCAGTCTGGCAAACCAGTATCAACAGACTGTTAATACAGGAATTAAAATAACCTGTCAATAAGAGTGCAAAGCGTGAACAGCGAGCACCCAACTCTCGTGAGAAACTCCGCCCGGTTGTTCGTGGCGAAGTTTTCTTGCCAACCCAACGCATCCACTTACACCCACCTGTACGGCCCTCCTGTCCACGTTGACGGTGACCACATCCCCGCTGGCCGTACCCGCAAACAGCCACCCTCCGTCCGAAGAGAACACCAGCGCGGTGACCTCCCGCCTGACGGAACCGCTGTTCACCCGATCCGTGGAGACCTGCCCCGTTTGAGGGTCGAGAGACCACGTAGTGACGCTGCATCCGAAAGCCGTCGCGACGAGGTGGGTGGCCTCGGTGGCAGGCGACCACGCGAGCGCGGTGGGACGCTGCCGGGCAAAGCCACAGAGCTCGCTCAACTGAGCAAATGGTGCACGCATTCATCGCTGAGGAAGGTCAGTTTGCAAGCCGCGCAGGGCATAGGTGTTGCAAGCACTCAGGATGGGGAAATGCTGCTTCAAGGAGCACATGGCAGTACCTCGCTCATGCGTGCGTGCAGCGGCACGAGCAGTTTCGGCCTGGGCGTGCGTTTGTGACCTGAATTGTTGGCACTGCATGAGCGCCTCCGAGTCTTTGCGTCAGGAAAATGGGGGGAGATCAAGCAATGGCGCGAGCGCCTCAATATCGAGTTTTTCTTTCCGATATCTGCCTTTTCCCAACACGAAGACATTGAAGGGATCACGAAAGTCATACAGGGTGCAAAGCGCCCAGGAACCAAAACACGAATCGACAAGCCCGAAAATAGCTTTCATGGCCTTCATGTCTGGCAATGCATGGCATCAAGCATTGCCTCAGTGTTGTGCACGCGTCCCGTGCACGCACGGAACATACACAGAAGCGCATGATCGCGAAATATTCCAGCCTCTCAAGTAAGTCAGAACGCGTAGCCGTTCATCTGCGCGTATGTGATGAGTCAAGCACGCTGCGCGGCGCCCCGCATGTGGGAAGCCATCAGGCGTTGATAGCAATATAGATATTCCGTCTGCGCATCGCGCGAGGTCGTATTTTGCACATACGTTTTTGGAGACATCGCTGCAGCAACAGAGGAAATAGACTATTGGATTAGTCTTTGTCAGTGGCAAACGAACTCCATGCGTTCTGCGTACCACGGCAAGGGTTTCAAAGCCAGCGTTGGGAGTCCTTATTGTGCATTGGCACTTGCCTGCGCTGCTCCTTGGTAGTTGCGCAAAATAATTGGGAAGAAATTGCGGAGAATTTAATTTATATATGTGAATGAAACGATGCGTTTCCGCGTGCCGCTGTCTACTATTATCCTATTCTAATTTCAACATTCATATCAAGTCTTGTTATGCAACGTTTGCTTGCGTTGGAAATTGACATGTAGAAACCGAGTCCATGGGAATGTTTCGCAGGTGTTGTGTGTTGTATCCTGAAACTTTCGCTTCGCAGATACGCACATGCTGGATATGGATCCAATATACAGGATGTGGCCATACACAGGATTTGAAAGGTTTTCCTGAGGAAGCCTGGGGCAGGGATGAAATGGAGAGGCACACTATGCAGTGTGGGAGGAAGCTGCAGGGTGGACATTCCACTAGCACGGCATTTCGTGGCAGAATATGTGGAGAAGCCCTAGTGAATGATTCACGCGCACACATGAATCATGCGTCGCCCGTGCGCACCTTGGGGTCGAAGCCAGCGCCGGCGATGATGCAACCGGTGGATACGTCGATGAAGAATATTTTCCTGTCCCTGGACGAAGGAAAAGCCCAAGAACGTACTTAAAACGCACCAGCGACATTACCACTTCTGATGGTTTGTCGCTCGCCTCCGCTGCACCGCATCTCATTTTCAAGGATGTTAATCCAATTTCATGTTGATGAGATTCAAAAATTCAGGCTTGGTTTTTACGTTTACGTTTACGTTTTTACTTTTACGTTTTTAAGCGTAAAAACGTAAATTTGCAAAAGGGCCTATTTTTACGGCTATTTTTACGTTTTTACGTCTCCCTGGGACACCCAGGTTATACGATGAAAGTTGCGTAGAATGATCAGTCTTTCGCCAATTCCAGCACCCGCAACACAATGTCCACCTCGCCCTTGGCAAGGGTGATGATGGCGCTTAACAAAAACTAGTTTTCTGCCCCTTTCAGGGCGCCTAGCTATCACTCTCCGGACTCCGTAAGTCTGTATGTACTGTCCTTATGTACACCGGACAGTTTTTACGTTGTATTTACATATTTTTACGCATTTTTACGCGTAAAAACGTAAAAACTATTTTTACGCGTAAAAACGTAAATACGATCAGTTTTTACGGCGTAAAAACCAAGCCTGCAAAAATTGATAGCTGAAAGAGGCGTGAGGGCAGTCGTACGTTCGGCGTGGACATTCGGTGAACAGCGCCTACAACGCCGTACCTTTCGTTCCCCATGCTCGCAAGAATCTTGGATCCTGGTGAAAAGCCCAGCTGGCACACATCATGGTCGTGTTCCTGGAATCTACCAACTGAAAAAGCAAATTGTCAATTTCGGTTGCTCAATTATTCGATCATTTGATCCATTAAATCCAATTGATCAACAAGTCAATCAATTTACTAGTTTATTGATTGATCAATCACTGGAAGCGACGAGTGCAGAACAAAGGGAAGATGCAGTGCCTGTATTCGCAACTGCTTTCAATCATATAACATACAATCGGAAGTCAGACAATGCTAGAAATATTTCCTGTAACGTTGTTGTGTGCGCAAGCACCCCACCGGAATAGCGTGCTCAGGGTTTTGGCGTCCCAAACCACCACATCGGCGTTCGGCCCAGCGCATCCGCTGGCCGCAAATCTACCGCAGTCCTGCACAATCCGCATCTCTATTCATCAATATGCACGAGTAGTAGCTAATCTATCGATTGAGCTTCCTATCAAGCAAACCAATTGCATCAAAACTGCAAACTCTCAACCAAACTTCCCTCATTGCGCCAGTACAAACAACACTTCGGGATGACAACTGGGATACTATTCGATATTAAATGATGCCCTCACAGTTTTTTTTTTTTTTTTTTTTTTTTTTTGTGCCAGTGCAACTACATGATGGCATCGCTTAGTGCCAAAATGCCGGGCAGTTGACGTCGCAAAAACGGTCATTATGAAAGCGATGAATAAGTACATTTCAATTATTTCGAAAGCTGCGAGTTTGTAGCGGTATTGTAGGGAAGATGGTTCTGCAGTTAATTTTCATCCTTGTGCTATCGACGAAGAATTTTCTTAAACTGTTCACAAATTAGTGCCTTCAGATGACCCATGACTGTCGGCGAGCCACACGATCACGCCAAACATACGTTTATCATTAAATCCAGACGCTGTACCGACAAAACATTGAGCGGCGTTCACCGCACCGGAGAAGGACCACATGGATTTCTGAGAAGCCCTGGGACATGTGGTATGGTGTGCTGGCAAAATGGATTGGTTCTATTCCACTGAAGATAAAGCCGACTAACACCTGGGCACAGACCGCAGCAGCCAAAGCAGCTAAGGGATAAACCAATTGGAGAAAGAGCTGCATCTGCGGAGGCCTCACCGATACGGCAAAAGCGGAGATGTTGGCGTTCTCATGGCCTCTCAGGAAATCCTGTCGCGCCTGATCCTATGCAAATACATTTGCCACATTCGACTATCTCAGTACTTCTATCCATGCACAGATTATTCCACTTCGCTACACGTCGTTCCCTTCCGCAATGTGGAAAGCACCATTGATTTCTCTACAGAGGAATGTCGTCCAAAGTAACGAAAGGCGTATCACATTCAAGTAACCTTGTTGCCACTGAAGCCTTTCTGAGTCCTTTGTGCTCCTAAGCAAACGCGTATCCTGGGGGTGTCTCCCATTCACGTTGTGCGCCCTGACATATCTAGAGTTATACACACTTGCGAAAATGCTTTGTGTCATGCCAATTTTGAGAGACAATATGCACTGGCGGACTCGAGACATTTCTTATACAGTGCCACCCATTTTCACTGACTGTTCGACGCCGGACACTAGCACAGCGCCTCATTCGGACAAACACTGGGCAAAAGACAGTTTCGCAAGGCTGTTCTCAATCTCTTAACTGGGCGATGTGGCAGAGCGCAGTGCATTTTGCGGTGGTGGCTGCCACAAATGACCATAAGCGCTCGCTTGGCGGCCTCTCCACCAGCGAAACGAGGAGCTCACGCCTCTGTCTTAATGCGCAAGAAAAACTCCCTTGGTTGAAAGCGAGCACTGAATCAAACGCCGGAGCTCTTCTGATGCGCTCATGTGCGAAAGCCCCTTCGCCAAGCGGCGCACAGCCCCTTCCCCACCTGGCTGGCGCTCACAATCGTCCCTCCGAAAGTGTACAGCAGATCGCAGTCCCCCGCTCGCCCTCTTCCCCGGGCCCCTCCCCGCAGGGAGCCACTGAGTGCACGACACGGGTCATCAGTCTTCGGTCCGACGGGCCCCAAGGCTCTTGAGCCGAACGCAGGCTGCAAAGCGGCTGCCGGGCCGGCCAGGAGCGTGCTGCGTACTTGAATCCCTTGGCGTGGGACAGCCGAGGGGCTTTGTCGGCAGTGACGGTCATGTCTGCGGCGGGGGCAGCCCGCTGACCCGACAGGGGGAAAGGCTGTCTGGGAGGCTGCCCGCTCTTGTGTGGGGAACGTCCAAGGGCGTCCCCGTGCTCAATGCCAGAGTGCGGTCTTGGGCAGTACCCTCCCCAGGTTTAAGTGTCGCATCAGCAAAGTTGAATACATATAAACTAACTATAACTAAACTAAACTACACTAAACTTTTTTACAAAGGAAACTGACGGACACCTGCCTGCATTGTGTAAATTTCACGAAGCTGACCGAAGGGCGCGTGCTGAGTCATGAGCTGATGGGCTCAAAGTCATGAACCATTTCGTGGCGATGTGCATTCGTTGGCACTGCTGTCGCTCGACGAGGGGAATGAAGGCCAGGCCGCTGCCTCGACTTGCGACGCTCGTTACCTGGTTGTTTGGTCGACTGCAATCGGGTGCAAAGTGAGCGGAATTGCAAAGTGAAGCGTGAAGACAATCGCAAAGCGCACTCTGTAGTATCGAATTCTCCAGCCACCACAAGGTGCATCGGAAATCGCGTCCTTTGCCAGACTGTGGGCAGTGGTAATAGACAACGGGAGCAAGCATTGGTGTGTTCTATGTTTCCTTCCGCGCATGTGTGGAAACTAGTACGCTGGTTCGCTGCGCAGGGGAGCTTGGCGGGTGCCTTGATAAGGTGATTCAATCAGTGTGGCAGGCCCAAAAGTCTTTGAGGACTGCGAATTTGTGTCCGTCGTTTTGTCGAGCTTTGTTTGCAATCCGCATGGCGTTGTGGAACGTGTTCTGAGAAATTCGAAAAAGTGGGAAGGAAATTAACTCACTTCGCATGTGATGCCCCTTACTACGCCGATTTTCACACCACGCCACAAAGTACACAACATTACCTTCTTGAACGTAAAAGCCTCATGGAAACGGCTGAAACTGGTGAGCCGCCGAAGCCTCGGTTGCTGTCCTACCTACTGCAAGTCAGTCGCGCAAACAAAATGCCGCTAGTCTGGAATTCTTGTGAATCGTCCATCTGCGCACTCCTCAGCTGAATCTCGACCGTCCAATACAACACCAAAGAAAACCGTATCTGCAGCCGTTCAACCTCCCTTCTGGGCACTGTACATGGCCATGCGACGGCTTCGTGCCAGCACAAGCTACCTCCATGTCGTCACTGCACCTGCAAGCAGCATCGCGAGCCAAGAATGGCACCCTCATGGTCTCGTTGCGGCCGGACACAGCGCTGGCAGGGAAACCACTCAAACGTCGTGTACTCAAGGATGGCCGCAAGCTGCAATTCAACGCATCAGCCACTCTGTAATCCAGCCCCTTCCAAACTCCAGCTGGCGCAGCTGAGGTGCATTGTTCTTATGTGCTGGGTACATCATGGAAGGGTCCTTCAGCTTGCATCGCGCATTCCCACTGGGAATTTCGTGGCGGCACTGGCACCGGCGCCCAGTCCCGCTGACATCCCGAGGGAGAGTTTGTGCCTCCACACCGTGCTGAGGTACAATGTCCGCATATAACTGAGGAGCTGCCCAAAGAGAAGCAGTGGCTATCGACCTTCGTCATCCACCAGCGCATGCTCAGCAGCCACCTCCACTGGCACAACTTGATACCCCTCCCTGCCGCAAACATCTGAAGACAGAAGCGGCAACGAGCAGGTGGTCAGTTGAGAGCACGCATCCATGCTTGGAATGGACAGTACGAATGGCGAGTATAAATTAATGGCTTCTAGCATGGCCACGCACAGATGTGCCATGTCATGATGATACACCCGTATACACATCTCCCCTAGCTGCTCAAGCAAGCAAACGGAAACGCAAATTGGCAAATTCCTTCGCATAATTTGCCTTCACAAGACAAAGCGCTGCATTCGCAGCCTGGAGGCCGTGCATATACCCAAAACGGCCAAATGTGTTCTGTTTTCATTTGTCATAATAGGGGACCATGCTTAATTAGGACAAAATCGCGTAGCTATCAACCGTGTAGTTGGTGCAGCTTTCATCAGTCAGCTTGGAGATCTTGCGTGTGCATATCAATGGCGAAAATGGCCCAATCAAGGTGAGTCATGTGAGTCAGGTGAGTCATGGCCCAATCAATCTCCTTGTGCGCTCCCGCCTCTTCATCAAGCGCATCCATTCTTTCAGCTATCTATCATAGGTTTGTCACCACCACGTGACGTCTCCATGAATTATACATACTAACTCGAACCGTTGTTTCCAATACTCTTATTTATTGTAGCTCTACCTTTTTTCAGCTGCTGGTTCTGCAATTCCAGGCAAAAATTAGAATGCGGATAGAAGCAGACCATGCGGTACGTGACAGGTGGCGGTGAGTGCTGAAGCGCATTGCGCCTGTCCGTGCACCACTGGGTTGGCAGGCGTCTGTCCATCCGTACCCCCGAGTTCCAGCGCCTGCTGGTGCGCTTGCGTCTGAATAAAATTGGCGCTTCGGCCTGAATATACCATATACGCTGAACGGCGCCATGCCTGTTCAGATTTGCTGGGTTGTTCCAGCACAACCACCTGACGGCTGCAAAAGCAAAGGACGACCGCCATCTAGCAAGCGACTTTATAAGCCAGCCAGCCAAATACTGTCATTTCAAGTAAAAGTGTGACAATGCCTTCATGGCACTGTCACACCGTCGTGATGTGATATATTAACGAAGATCTCAACCTACCCAGCACAGGGACAGCTTTGCGGCGTCTGATGTTTGCTATTGCGCGCTCATTCCTTTCAAAAGCAATAGACTCTCACGTACTGTGCAAGAGAACTGTGGCAAAAATATATTGATTCACTCACGATTGATTCACAGATGACTATCCGAAGGACAGCCCCCCTCGGCTTCACGGAATACCAAACACACACCATTTCATGCAAGCTTACCGACGCAGATCGAAGTTCCTGTTCATTGCAACCCCAAGGGCCTTGTGGTCGCCATCCAGCAGGGCATTCCTGCTCATGGCATGAACACACAGAATTTTCACATGCAAAGCCCATCCTATGACCATTCCCGCAAAAATAGAATAGAATGCTGCACTTGAACCTTCAAAGAGATGGTTGGCACTGTCAATCGTCCACATTTACATGCATTGTGCAACAGGCATTCTCCCAGCAAGGTGTAGCATCCAGTCATGATGGATGAAACGATCCTTCATTTGCAGCAGTTCGCCTGTCTGGCTGGGAGTGCGTTTTCAATTTTGCGGGAATTGCCTTTCTTGATGTCCGTGTGCTGCAGCGCATTTCTGCATAACCCTCTGTTTTAATATCCGCACCCCACACCTGCCCATTTCTGCTGTTCCAGCAGCCTCTGCCATCACGCGTCTGATTTCTTGATCACCGTCTAGCCACCTCTGCTTCGCCCCGCTGTGCACCTTGCCCGATTCACTTGGGGTGCGTGAAAGCACAAGCCAGAGGCGCGGAAGTTTGTCCACTGGTAGACTTTTGTACCGTCCGCGCCCATGCTGTTTCACATAATCGCCATTGAAATCCATGAACACACAGCCCCCATACACCTGCGCAGACACCATCACATTGTTTCACAACTACCAAAAGCACACTGAGGGAAGGGCACTGGGGCCTGCACTTGTCAGAATAGGTAAATCGACCAAACTTTGCCTGTTGCAATGTGGACCATTGAGACTGCTGATAAACAACATTCTGTCTCAACAAAAGCTGGAGTGTAGAGAGTGCCCCCATGAGCAGCTGACACCATAAGTTGCCTTGTATCTTCAATGCCACCACATCGCAAGCACACACTTGAAACACATCGTGCAGAATCTACTGAAGCATGCTCTCAATGAGTCTCCATGCTTCAGAGAGGCAATGCACAAACCTGAACGACTCGATCCATCAGCCCTGCTGTTATACCAAGCTCTCCTTCTGCAGAAAGAATTAGCCCTGGCCGGTCTCTCAAAGGCATCATGTCTTCTATACCATAGAAGGACAGGAGGCAAGACAGGGCTGCAAAATGGGCAAATAATGGAGCACTTCAGAGAGCTTGCTTAGCAGCTGCTTCATTCCAGAAGGACTGGTGTTACCATTTAGATGTTGAGTCATAAATGCAAAAGTGTGTAGCGTGGCTGTTGTGCATAGTGACCATGGCAGAGCGGGGTGCGAAATTCCATTGTTCAATTTTCCTGCAAAGGACAAAGTGGGATCCTGGTGCTTTGCAGGCAATGATAATCAGGGAACGTTTTTCTGTCCCACAGCCATACCTGCAACCTGCTCACCACCCATCTGAATACAGTAACAGGTGCTGTGGGCAACAGCATGCCCTGAAAGCAAAACAGTGCTACAAATAGGGTAAGCTTATTCAGGGGAACTGAGATCTTGAAGTCTCAAAGCGAACTTTTGAACGTCGAACCCATGTCACTGACAACTTCCCTGCTGCTGTAAGTGAACAAGCAATTTTGCTCCGGATGTCTTGCCCAAAACTCTGCTGCAAGCGATGAGCAGCAACAACAAGCCGTGCACAGATATCCACATTGCCCAAAGCAGGCCAAAAGGATTGTTCCAAGTCATAAGATGTAAATGCCCAGGACAGTGGAACAGACAACACCACTGGACAATGCATGATAGAAAACCAATATCCCTTTACCAAGTATGTTTGTGGCAGGTAAGTGGTGCAGAGGTGAGGGCATCACCTGCTGATACGATGGCAGATGACCCTGCAAGCCCCAGCTGCCTGGGCACATTCGTGGAGTAGCTCATTCTGAAATTGACCTCTTTGAGTTGTATGTCATGATCCCTGCAGTACTCATAAAACCTCTTGCAAATTGCCTTGCAACAGATCAAAATGAAATGCCTTCAGCCCGCAGCAAACCTACTCGATTGCAAATTTGCTGCCGAACACAATCTCAGGGCAACTGTACCTTGTGTTCTCCGTTTTTGTCGCTGCCAAATTTGGACAACTACATTGCCATACTGCACCAGTCGATTGCCCAAATTTAAGCAAGCTGCAATTGACTTTCTGAGATTACCTTCAGTAACCTCACTCCTCCATAATACCCTTTAGATTGCACTGCTTCAACCATTTCGGACATGGAGCAGTAGCAGTTGGTGTCGTGCAGTGCATGGGGATGGAACTCCAGCTGCTCTGAAGGTACCATTCGAACCTGCGGATGACCAGCAAATGACAAAGTAAGACCAAGGGGACTAAGGATCGAAGCAAAACTGTACGATCGTGCCAAGATCTGTGAAAAGCAGCTGGCAGAGTCACAATGGGAGAACGACAGGGGCCAGGGAGGCTCTGCATTGCCACTGATTAAATATCAAGGAACAGCCTGTCGCAAAAAGCAACGGGATCGCAAGAAAGTTGAATATATTGGCCTGCATGGAGAAAAATGGCTGCTTGCGTGGCCAGAATTAGTTACAGTTGTGTCAACAGGGGGCAAGTCAGAGGCCCACTGCTCTACCCGAGGAACAGTGGGCGCATTTGTTACCCATTAATTGCCCACACTCCTGTTCGTGGTGTCTCATCAACCCTGTTTATTACACACTGTCCCTGTGGAAATCATGCCGACGAGAGGCTTCACAACATTCCAGTTGTGTCTCTAAAGGTCAGCCATTATTCTGATCTGCTCTGTTGCCTGAGGATTGAGAATTCGGCTCTTCCAGCAATCAATGGCCAGACAACACAGGGATTCCACAGTTACTTGATATTTTGTTAATTGTACAGGCGGGACAACTGTTCCAGGCAAACCAACTGACACCCTTCTGCTTGAAAGTCTGATCTGAGATTACATGTCTAGTCAGAGATTATGTCTCGCTGTCAGATTGCATCCTACTGATATGACAGGCATGCGACGGCAGACCAGTTCAAGTTGGTGTCAATCCCCGTTTCAGTGCATTCGTCAACAACTGACAACGCACTCCCCTTGCACCTTTAGAGCGACGCAGCAGCTGACGTTCCCAGAAAATGCAGCCAACAACGAAACAATGCAATCTCACTGTTGCACAATATTCCCCAAGAACCCGCCAGCTCTCGCATTGGCCATGTGACATTGGCAGTCCTTCCCTTGGCGTACACCTTCGCCGATCTACCGACCATTCACCAACAGGCGTCTGGCGACATTGGCCACTAGATCAGCGTTCCCTCACGGACAATCGACGCGGCCGGACGCCGTCCAATCCCGACATGAAGCCTACCTCTGCGTGGAAGTTGGCGACAGACACTGCAATCACTTTCCCCTCGTACTGATCCGAAGGGTTGCCAAGGAGGCCAGTGCGGGCGTGGGCGACGCCCACGGTCTCCTCAAATGGTGCCATGGTGGGAAGACGGCTGGTGGGCGCGCTGGCAGGGCGAAGCAAGCGCAGTCTCGCTGAATGCTGTCAGGTTGCGGTCTCCTCTTGAGTACTGACAGAACGGCCAGCGTCACCTGCACGCTGGCAGGGATGGCCGATGTCAATGCATTGTACGGAGCCCGAACCCAAAACCGCTTGGAGCGCTGAGGCTTGGCACTGGTTTGAATCTCACCCCGTTAGATCATCCGAGAATCAGTTGATACGTTGGCAGGATAGCCCGACTGGCTGTGAAGGGAACTGATACGCTGACTGTCATTTTGTGGATATCGTACTTCGACGACCTGACTATTAGCCATCAGGCTCAAACACCTTGATGATGTTTGAGACAAACCCTATTTGACTGTGGCCTCGTTCACCCGAACTGCTCATCTCTTGAGAGGTCCCCGCGCCTCTGTACACAAGCAGCCCCTTCATTCTTTCTTTTGGTATTGTCAAGGACGACTCCTCTTCTCTTCTCCTCTCTTCCGTTTTCTTTTCTTTTCTTTCATTTCATTTTCTTTCCTTTCCTTCTTTTCCTTTCCTTTTTTTCTTTCCTTTACTTTTCTTTCGGGTTTTGTCTCAACGCACCAGATGTCTGGATGGGGTGGGCAAGCAGGTTTGGAAATGAGACAAACGAACTACCAGTAGTTGACTTCAATTGCTCTCTTTTGCATTGCTGTTGTATCCTTAAAGATTAACTGTACAAACAACATTTATCCCCTTGATCTGCTTGGCTTCGTCAAGACTGTGGTTGTTTCCCCACCAAGACTACAAATGAAACGGCTCTCACAACCTCACTACTCTGTACTACTGCCTGGAGTCAGGCATCAGGCATGATCTCCTGATGCCATCTTTAGCCTCACTGCCAAAACGGTGCAGGAAGTCAGATGCAAACAGTCCCAAAGCATAGCACCCGTCTGCTAACTCCCTGTAAACTCCGGTTTTCGTTTTTCCAGAAAAGCCTTCAGGCCTTCTTTCCTGTCTCGAGTGTACAACACTCGATCGTAGCACTCGCCTTCAAATATCAAACCGTTCTGCATATCCACGTCCGCTGCATGGTCCACGGCGGTCTTGGCTGCCCTCAGGGCCAGCGGGGCATTCTCAGCCAGAGTGGTGGCCAGCGCACGCACATGGTCTTCTGCATCCGAGCCCACGTAATCCAGCAGCCCCAGCTGCTTCGCTTCATTGGCTTGGACCACAGTTCCCAACAAGATCAACTGTTTGGCTTTGGATTCCCCAACAATGCGGGGCAGTCGTTGTGTGCCCCCCGCACCAGGAATTATGCCAAGACGGACCTCTGGAAATGCCAATTTGGCTGTGGGGGTTCCCACTCGGAAGTCGCAGGCAATAGCCAGTTCTGCTCCACCTCCAAAAGCAGGCCCGTCAATGAGGGCAATGGTTGGCATCTGGAGCTGGGCCACACCATCCACTGCCTCCCGTATAGTGCTCACGAACTCACGCACTTCCTCTTCATCCATGTTGGCTCTTTCTTTGAGATCTGCACCTGCTCAAACTGGTGTAAGAAATCAGAAGCGTCCGGCAGTGCAGTATCCAGGGTGCTGGTTGGCAATAGCACTGCAGCAGCCTTTAGGGGCAGATACCATCTGATCTTCGCAATCAATTCCGCTTCCGGAGGGAAACGCCCACAACAAGGGCAACTGCGAACTGCTTATATGGGATTTTCATCTTGGTTGATGGTGGGTATGCATTGATGGATGCAACTGTCCACATTCACAATAAACAATCGTGGACCAATAATGGATGGAAGAACTTGTTGACCATCGATAATGTGCTATGTTGCCATAATTGTTGGCAGTGTTGACACTTGTCTCAACTGCCGCATTTTTTGCGGCGATGGCATTGACAAAATGGATATACACTAGAGGCATGTCTGCTTGACGCTTCAAACCATTCTACCAGGATGTGGGCCTGAAGCATGAAGCTGATATCTGGGCCTTCTATGGGTGGTAACACAGCTGATGTTGAAGGATTCCACTGACAGGGCATATGCCAATCAAGTTGCACATCTCAAAGTGAAATGCAACATCCAAATGATCAGCAGCAGATGCAACTGAATGCTATCCATGGACCATCGGCCTTGTGGTAATGGCGCGCAGTGCAAGTTTGTTTCCTTGTTGTTACTTCCATCCCTTTCCTTGGTTTCAGAATCAGGGCACTGCATTCCCGATTCCTAATCCCAACGGATTGTAGTGTTTGAAAACTTCCCATCATGGGACAGAGGCAAGCTCCTATTCGGTGTCCATCACCAATGCAATACGCTCAACAGGAAAACAGCAGCGCCCAAGCGACTCTTGCGACCACGGCGCCAGGCATGGCTTACGCCGCGGGAGCGCCTACCTGCGCAGAACACTCCCGGCACGCCGCTCCGGAAAACGATGCAGCGCAGGTCCGCCTGCCATCGCAGGGCGGCGACGCACGTCCGCAGCTCGTCCACTGTCTGGCGGCCCATCGCGTTCCTGCGAGCGTGCCCCTCGAAGCTCACCACGGCGGTGGGCGTCCCAAAGTCGCATCGAACGAGCTCGCCGGTTGGCGGGGCTGAGGATAGGCGCCGGCACAGGCGGCGGACGGGCGAGCGCAGGAGGGCCGCCAGCGCGCCGGCGCTGGGGGAGAACATCTTCGATCGTTGCCGCGGGAGAGGCCCGGTTCGCCACGCGTCTCCGCACGGGATTTCCGTTCTTGCCCGCTCTCAATTGGCAGGTGTGGCGCCCAGAAACGTCACACGTGGGCGTGACACTGTCGGACATCATGGGTGACGCCAAACGGATGACATGTCCAGACAGCGTTCCACAGATGGTTTCCGGCCATTTTTTTAGCCATGGCCGTGGTGATGAAAAAGGCGGGCTGGGGTCGAGGGGTGGCTGCGATCCTTTAAAACTGCCTTGGACGAGACAGAGCGGTGACCTTGCTCCTTGGAGCAGACGACCAGCATGTATGCATCGATGAAGGGGCGGCAACCTTGGGGGAGGAGCAGAGTACACGGCAATAAATGAAGCGGAGCCAAGGGTCGCTTGGGGGACACGCTCCTAAATACAAGTTCATTCATAAATGCCATTCCCTCCATGAATGTAACATAAAGTTGAAGGTGGTTCGTAGCACTGTGAAGAGCACTCGCTTTGAGCTGGCTTGGCATCTTGTGCATTCTACCCCACATGGCTACTGTAGAAATTCGACACAGTCCACAGAGCCACTCGGGCGGCCATGTGACTCATGGTGCGATAGCAACGACGATCAAACATTCCAACAACACCAGGGCCTTAGAGGATGATCCACGGATCATTCGAAATCCGTGGGGCAAGGAACTCCGTCAATGACCCAAGTAATATGCCACACGACCTGCCAGAGCCACGGCGGTATTGAAGGTTTTGTACTTGCACGTAAGCTACTGGGATGTGTATGAAATATTTTCCAAATGCAACGGCATGGGGCCTAATCATGCCACCCCAGAAATGCAGATGATGCATGCACCGAGGAGCGAGGTTACTGGAGATTCAGGTGCATTTCACAGTAGAGCAGATGCTTTGCAAATTTCAATTATTTCGAACGTGAGTGTGTCGTGGGAGAGGGGCACACAGCCTGCGCCATTTCATCATGGTATGATCGAATGTTGCCGTGCGCAACAAGTTGATTCTGCAGATGTGAGGGGCATGGAAGGACAAGCGCGGTCTTTAGATTCGGTTGCCCGCAGCCATTGAAAACTGAGCGAAATTGACGTCGGCATTCTTGAGCGACGGAGGGGCAACTGCAACCCAATCGACATGATTAGTACCATGGATCACGGGGGATATAGCGTTCCCCCCGCGTTCCGCATCAGGGCTGACGTCAGGAATGCGGGGGCCGCCATCTTGCGTGCCCCAGCGCTATTTCCGTTCCCCCCGCGTTCCATATCAGGCGGCTGACTCAGTAGCGCACCCCCCCTCCTTCCCCCTGGGCGTTATTACACTGGCCCGCGCACCGATGGTGCAACGCCAGGACTACAGCCAACAGTGCTTCCTCTCCCAGGTTTCGTGATTACATCCAAGGCACAGCCCTGATCAGATTGGCCGGCGTGCCACAATTGACACAAAAGCAGTCTCCACGAGCCCACCGAAGTTTCCCGCAGATTCAACCATCACCATAGCCACATCTCCCGCTTCCCAGCTCCTGTTCCGCGTCGACTCTAACCGCAGGAAGCGGCGGCGGAGAACGTTGACCTTACCGCATTCCCCTTGAAGACCTCTACCCCAACCTTTTGTCCAGCCCCCAGAGTCCAACCTCGCTTCAATCGCTCACCGCGGGGGCGCGGCGCCCAAAATTACGCTCCGACGCGTCCAGCCCGCGCAGTACGAGAAAACCGCACAGCCGAGCACAACCGCAATGGATGCATTCGCGGACGCTCCAGAGCGGCCACAATTTCCCAGAGGCATCGCCTTCACCCGCGCCAAAGCGAGCGGACGAAGCCAGACGGATTGACGCCGCGCAGCGCAACCAGGGGGCGGCCCCCCCTCGAGGCCGCAAGACGCATTCCCGGCCCACCTGAGGGTGTCAGGATGGCCTCCGTGGCGCGGGAGAGCAACACGGCCGTGGCCAGCAGGAGGCACCCCATCTCTTATTATGTTCTGTCGGGACATCTGGGGCGTCGTGCCAGCTGGCGCTGCGACAGTCAACACTGAAGGTTGCGATCCTGGCGCAGCCCGACTTTGATGCACCCGATCGCACGGTGGGACGGTGAAGCGCGAGCCGCTGAGCGGCTCGACGTTGAGTACGGCACTGGCCTCCAATCTCGTTGTCCTGAACCTAGGGCAGTTGAGCTTTTCAAGCAAGGCCGGGCCGCTGTTCTGTGAAGTGTTTTGCCGATGCCGTTGATCGCCGATGGTTTTTGTTCCGATCTTGAGGTTTCCGCAGCGTTCGAGCATGGGCGAAGAGCTCCGCGTACTGTTGGTTCCAGCCTCTGGTGCCCATCGCGTTCATGCAATTCCTGTCAGCCGCCACAGTGGTGGCTTTACTCCTCGTTGGATGCCCTTTCGAGGCTCGTGCACCGTTGTGTCTTCGCCAGGACTGACCCGCCGCCCTACCCTTCCCATGTTCCAATCAGAACAGGGCCTTGAGGGTTCCAGTCGTCAATCAGGGGAAAACAAAGAAGATCAGGTGGGGAAGATGGCTTCCGGGCAGCGGTTATGACAGCAGCACATCACGGGCAGTATTACGTTTGACGCCAGCAATTGAAGCAAAAGTCTACTCCTATCACCTCAGCTAAAGTGAAACCAAGGTGACAGAATGGGTGCGTTGGTGGGCGAATAATCTCTTGCATCTTTTCCAGAATTCCGATCGCCCAGCAGGGCAAGATCAACCCAATTTCCATCCGTCGACGGAACTTTCCCGATGGTATCTGCCCCACCCCAAGCCAACAACTTTCCCCGCCTCCCCTGGCGGCCTCGATAGATTCCCGCTGCACTGCCACACTGGTACGCCTGCACCAACAAGTCCCTATTGACCCGATATGCTCCAACTATCCTCCTCTTTGTAACTAATGTTACCTCCATCCTGTTGTGAAAGCGGCAGGGCACTTGATCGAGGCGTCGGCTGGGGAAGTGGACGGACGACAGGGTTGGGGATACGAACAAACATCGGCTTTTCCTCTTGACTGTGTTGCGGACTGTGGACCTGCGTACATTGTGTTCCTTTGGATGGGGTGTTGGCCAACCATTGTGAGGCCGTTGTAGACCGCAGGCAGAGGGACGCCGTCTGACTGTCCGGGTTCAGCACAGACACGTGACATGACCAGTGCGTCGATTTTATTAACGCTGCTTGTAAGGATATTCATTCATTCATTCATTCACCCCATCCTCCCCAAAAGATCCCACGGAGGCGAACCCCCACCGTTCCTTGGGGCCCCCGCCCCCTCCCGCCAACCGCCCAACACTATCCTCAATGCCCTGAAACTGGCCCCTTGATGGCATTCTGGCCGCTGAAAGCCAAGCCTGGAGCGTCAAGGCACAGTGTGTCCGCCGATGGACATGCGGCCACCGGGGGCTCCCGCGCCCTGACGCCCGCTCACCCCACCTGCGCCCAACACCGCGAGCAGCGTTGGACGCCTCTGCCCGCACTCCCCCGCCCCTGACGGCGGGCCGCTCTGCAAATCCTCGGCGCGATGACGGAGGGCGGGACTGGGCTCAATCGCCCGCTCCCCCAATGCCCGGCCCTTGCCCCGCCTACCTCCTCCCAGGTGGCCTCCCATCTCCCCCCACCCCCCCACCCCCTTTCCTCTGCCGCGCCACCCAAAAAGCGCACCCACCCTTTGCCCCGCGCGCCTTCGCTGTGGGCCAATGTGTTCCGCCAATGGCAATCGGCGTCGTTTCATTCCCAGCGTTTGATCTTGAATCTCAGTTCTGATCGGCCGGCTCGGGCGCATGCCTCAGGTCGCCAATCGCGCGCCGGGCCACCGCATGAGACTGGCACCGCTGCCGGGCGCCCTGTCAGAGCGTTGGAAGTTTGCATGGCGGGCGGGCGCGCCCGGCGCCAGGCCGCGGCAAGTCGGCCCGCTCTGCAGCTCGGAGGCCGTGGTCGCGCCCGTGGGGCGCAGATCGTCGTCGCAGCCGTTCCCGAGGAAGTACACCTGCAGGTCGGATGAGGGGCACATGGTGAGCGCCGGAAAACGCTGTGATGTAGAAGCTTGATAGTGCTCGTGGCGATTGGCATCAGCTTTATCTTGATGCCGACAGGGATGTGGACTGCATTGCCTGTTGGAGCAATGATCGTGACAGAAGGAAGAACAGCGCGCGC